CTACTACTACTACTACTACTACTACTACTACTACTACTACTACTACTACTACTACTACTACTACTACTACTACTACTCTAACCTTCCAAACGTCAAAAAATCTAGATCTGTTAATGCCCTGCCTGTTCTGCTTGTAAGAGAGAGAAATATACCGTAAATAATATACTAGATTCGGTAGCGTCACGCCAAACTTAATAATTTATTCTAGTGTTATTTTTATGCTATCAAAGACTCTCCCTCCCAGTCCTATAATTATTAAAAAAATTAATATGTAAAAGGGCTTATTTTACGTATTTTATAACTCTCTAATCTAAAACTCTAATAAGCATTTTATATTTTTTGTATTGACATATTGTTTCCCTTTTTTTTATTGCTTTTAATATTCCTATACGCGACTCTCGCAAAGAGACTATTAGCATCTAGACTGAATCTAAGTGTGACGAACGGCTACGCTGGCGATAAGGAATCGCGGAAATGTAGGATATGCATTCAACGAAGAAACTAAGCTAGGTTGTAAAGCTAGTCCCGATCGGGTAGTTAGGTCATAGGGTATCGCGAAGGTCTTCGGAGGCAGGTCACAGTCCGTGACAATATTTGTATTCATTCTGGAAGAAACTTCGCCCCCTCCCCACCCCCCAGGTGACTCATTTATGACGTAGGGGGCAAACAAGGCAATCAATAGTCAACTTTAAATGCTCCCTGGCAGCAGCTAGCCTGTACATTGTTTCTCTCTTACTTCGTTTGTTTAATTATTTCCCGTATCTCATATGTCTCGGAATGGATTCACAACAGAGTAAGAGACCCCATCATAATGTAAGTTTCACCTTTCAGCAGCTCTACTATAGCCTTATTAATCCGTTCATTCTTTAGCCACTGACAGAAGATGAGAGACATCTGTTACGTATCTATGGAAGGTTACCTCATGGTGGAGGTTTGCTTGGACAGCAGTCTAAGGTGTGTTACATAACCTTGCCACTCAGGAACACTATCTGATGGTTAGAAGAAGCGGGCGTAATTCGACTCGGGAGATTTTGCTGTTTCTTCAGCCGATCGCGTGACTGATAATGGAAAAGTCAAGACTGGCACCGCCCATCCTCAACGACAAAGTATTTCGCAACCATATGCCCCTGTTCCTAACACTAGTAACATCAATAAAGATGCCAATAAAGACATTCGTGCCGAAAGCAGCCCGGAAGAAGCAGCTAAGAGTCCACTTCGCTTGCAACAAGATACCTATGAATGTCAGAGAGATATTGAGAAAGATAATAGTCCTGGCTAAAAAATATCGAACATCTCCCATAACCCAGTTATATTTCATCAGCACAAGTTTGGTATGATGATGGTACCTAAGTTGACAGGATAAAGTTTGTTTAGTATTGCCGTCGTTAATTTTGGTGTTTATGAGAACGTAGTATTTCGTCAAAAGAAAATAAAAGCTTTGATTAGATAGTAAACCGCACTGCAATTTGCTCATATTAGAAGAAATTCCAAATTGTTTCCTTTGCGCTATGAGAAATGGCAATCTGGTTGACAACTTCACAAAGTAACCAATTTTGCCCCAGGATGTGGCAGAGTCGTTCTCGGTTTGTGAGTTCCCAGTTCCACCTTTCGGGAAAGGTGCGCTCGCGGGTTAACAGAATCAGGGTTGTCTCGAGGGGAATGTGGTCTGAATCATGGTCTAAGTCTTCCTGTGGAAGGCAGCGGATGAGACTATCTTGAAGCCTGGTCGTGGCTAGGGAGAGGTCGATCGTCGATTCTGCACCTCGGGCTCGGTAAGTGACTGTCCCTGCTTCATAGAGGACAGCGAGATCGTATTCCTCAATCAACCGAAGTGTTTCTTCTGCCTCCAGGTCTGCTCTTTCCGTCGTCAAGCCGCCCCAGTGCGGGTGATGCAGGTTGATGTCTCCCACGACGATCTGCTCTACTTGCCGCCATTGCCCCCATCGCTAAGTGGAGCACGGGAAGAGCACTGTTTCCACGCGTGCGATGTGAACGCACGCGCAAAGCCATGATTTTTAAATCACCACGGTCGTGCGTGAGCTAAGTTCAACCCCTTGTTGACAGGCCACCTTTCGTGACCTACAACCTTCAACCCAGTTCACGTGCTTACCATTGCGGTAAATGGTGAGCGGCAAGTGGTGCAACGCAAGCTATCCAGTGTACTAGGCAGACGTTATTCGCCCCGGAGCTGTTGTTCCGTTCCGTCTTGGTATGATCTTGGTTGGCAGGTGTACCAAAAAAAATCTAGGTAAATGCGAAGGGTGCGCAGATTATACTGCTCACAAGAGGGGTTTCAGTGGGTTTCCTTCAGAGAGCACGCTTCGATTTGTTCTGGACATGGTCAGGAGGCTAGTCAATCGTCACAACTGGACATCAGAGGAGCAAAGTATATTCTGTTGCGAAGGCTCTAAATAATCGTGACAAATAAAGTACGCTCTAATGAAACAGCCACCAATCCAACGATATCTCCACTAATTAAGTTTAGAGAGATAAACATGTAAATGAAATGGACAAGGGCCTCCAGCATTAGACAAGAACAACCGACGCTCATGTTCGAAGGCCATGGGCATCCTCAGCATGCCTCCGCAAGTGCATCTCGTGCAGGAGGGACAGCTCGCAAAAATTACATTTGCGGTCCATCAAATGTGATGATTTGAAATGCCTCTTCACTCCATTATAGTCAGAGTATGCCTTAGGACATTGGAAACATGTGAATGTTTGCTCTGCATTCGGGATCTCTTTTCTGCCAGAGGTATGTTCCTTCTCTCACGACGCAATCAGTGATGCATCAGCCTTTATCTTGCGAGCTGGCGGAGATGGAACTACATCGTCATTGTCGGACGGCGCAGAGCGCTTCGGTCGTCCCCGAAGGGGCCCACCCTCCTGAGTCGTCACCTCATTGACTCTCATCTAGTCCATGCGCACGACGGGATCAGCTGTAACTGGGAGGCCTGTCACAATGGCCCTAGGTTCACCGAAGTCACCGAACTTTTGGCCCACACTGCTAGGGTGTACGCATATGATGTCAATATTAAACTGTGTCATCTCCCAAAAAGGCTACAGCTTACTTGTAGCGATATTTCATCTGCCAAAAGCAGAGACGTATCTTTGGAATCAGAGAATCGGCAAGGTATCAAAACCCCCGCCTCCTCTGTCGAAGTTGAGATGGCAGTTATTGACCCACGCTTGATGAAACCCCACCCTATCGCTATCACGAAGCCTTCACCATGTTGGTCAGGCACTGAAACCTCCGCCTCTTCCGTTGGCTCCGAGGCGACAAATATCGACCTATGCTTAACAGATATTCCAGCGAGGCGACTATTGAAGGGAGATAGAAAAGCGACAGATTCTGGCCCGAAAACTCAATCAGAACATGCAACTCGCTCATCTCAAAACCATGCCCCCCTAGAAGAGCAGCCTAGGAAAAGGCGCGAAAAGGGGCGATCAAGAAGATCCAAAATTTCCATCACAAAGTCCACGCTACGTCGATCAAAGAGATTGCAACACCAGTGATTGGCCGAGTTGTGGTTGCGGTTGCGTATTAAATTCTGTGTTTTAATTTGATAGCCAACTATTTTGGTTTTCCAGATCGGAAAGGAACGGTGCAAAGAGAATTGCTGGTTTTCTATACTCACAGCTACCGTTGATTCTCAATTAATTGATAAGTGTACTATTACTTTGATCTGATTAAATCAACTGGTTCTGAAGATACAAAGGACCCCCTATTTGTGAGTTCAACGAAGGCTAGTGGAGAAACGAGGTGGTGAAATAGAAATTAGAATTCAAAATTATTGAAATCTAAACATGAGACCGCAGAAAGTGGTTGTCTTCTGAAGTCGTGTTGATTGAAAGGATTGGTCGAGCCCCCCCCGGGGACCCCAGATCTCTGGCAAGAAGATCAGCTGTAGGAGCGGTTTCATTCCATTTTCCGTCCGGCATTCTTTTTACGGTTGAAAGTCATCTGTAGCCAGCAGGACTGAGACGGCCAGTAGAACTTTATTGAGTTGTTTCAGTCTAGCTCAAAAACGGTGTCGAAGGTTCCATTCCTCTATAGATGACGCCATTGTGGAAGATTGTGGCAGAAATATGTGGGTCTACCGAAGAAGTGATTATTCAACTGAGTTATATGATCATATTCAAATGAATGAAGGTCTTGATTCTTTCTAACTACACGATAAAGAAGCCGATATTTATGCAATTTCAGGGGCTTCACGATCGTCATAAATGAGCGGAATTACATGATTTATCGTCATAAATCAATACGGTTGCATGATCGGTCAAGCAAGGCGATCTCCCGCGGCCACAAAGATCTAACTCCACATGACTTTGTTTCGGGCACGAACCGAGTGGTAATACCCGCGACACCGTTTCTGGACCAAACTGAAACAATTCGATTAAGTTCTCCTCTCGGTCCTGCTGACCCTCTCAGGAGTCTCTATTCCTGTGGGAGACTAGTCCTGCGTGAGACTCGTGAGTTTGCCGCCTAGTTAGGCCTCGCGATAGCCGTCAATGATCACATTACCAGCGAGGGGTTTTTGCCATTGGATATAGCTAGTCCATTGGATATAGCAAGTCGTGGGCGAAACGCGCACGGTAGAGCGGACTTCCCCATATATTGCCGCTGGGAATTTAGGTTGGGGAGCGTTACGCCGACGAGCGCTCGCAAAGTGACCACGCCAACCTGGAAATATAATTTAGAGTTTTTGTATGATTGGAAGCCATTTTGCGACTTTACGCATTATCATTTTCTATTGGCTCGGCCCAGCGAACGCTAAAGCAATCTGTAACGCGAACCCTAGCGGTATCTTCATCGCATTGGGTCCCATCCGTCACTTGGATAGCGAGCCGCCGCTGAACCGCCCCCATTCTGCGTCCCTGCCCAAGTGATAGTACTTTCGATCGGAGTGAGAAGCCAATAACCTTGAAATACACGATATCCTTAGTCATCCACATGGCTTGCCTGCCTCCTATTTAAGTACATTCCCTCGCGGATTGACTGACTCCTCTGATCCCTCCACTGACCTACCCTTCTTCTTCTACATGGCAAATGTCTTGCCCAGAACAGACCAAGAAGCAGGGCTGATAATAAAAAAGGAAAATGATGGGGAGAAAACGGTGGGGGACCGAGTACCCCTTAAGCGAAGCAGTGCGCTCTCCTTTCCTTCCACCTAACAGATAAGAAGTGTGAGCTAGACTGACAGTTTTTTGATGACCAGGGGTGGACTTCGAAGACGATGAGTCGACAGAAGATGGCTCTGAGTACAACCGATCGGATGAGGCCGAGGAAGAAGGATGATGGACGGAAAATGATTGCGAAGATGAGAGTGAAGATTTCGATCACGAACAGGAAATTGAGGAACACGAGTATGCCACCTAATCTCCTGAGACCCGTTGTTTTCCAAGAATATTTGGCATTGAACGTGAGTGGGGTATCTCGATGCTACTATAATACAGGTTTGAGAGGAGATGGAAGAAGTATGGTACATGCGACGTGAAATATCAGGACAGCATCGCTTCAATAGACCAGGCTAGGCACCATTCAGGAAAAGCTTCGTTCCCTCATAGCAGCCGATATACATCGCACTGCCAACCGTCGCCGTCAAACAAGTCAATCGAGAACCACGGAAGAAACCCGCAATACCCTCTCTGAGCAAAACTTCCTGAGCAACCGCAACTGCCCCAAGTCGAGCCGAAAAGGTCGCCCCAGAAGACGCACCCCTCATCTTCGAGTTCACAATAGAGAGCCGAGATACCTGAACATCACTGCCAACCGCGAGCCTCATCCGTGTCTTGACAACATCAATAGGAACAAAGAACCAAGAAGAACACCCACCTGCAAGTCCAGCACTAAGCACAGTAGTCTGCATCTGCAGCGAAGCAGAACCCTCATACGTCTCATTCAACGACTCCTTAATGGACTCATACAGACAAAACGTCAAGCAGATACTGGGTAATTGCCCTGCAACCAAAACCCAGTACCCAGCCCAAAGAGCAGAAGGCTGCCTATAAAACTGCTTCAAGGTCTGCATCGAAGCGGACGGCCCACTAGACGGCGTTCGAGGCTTACGAGCAATCTGCGCATTCTGCTTCAGGACCTCGGCGGGATTCATCAATGCGCACGCAACGAGTTCTGCAGCTGCACTGCTGACAGTGTGCAGGATTGGACGCGGTACGTCTTGGAGGTAGCCTGCGACTTGAGCTCTTTCAAAGGCTGTCTTTGAAGCATCGTATGTTGCGAAGAATGCGGCTGAGGAAGGGATACCGGCGAATAGTGTTGGGCCGAATCCTTGGTACAGGCCTGTGAATAAGGAGCGTCTTAAGGCGCCGTTGCTATGTTTGTAGACAGTGCTGTAGTCTTTTGATTGTATTCGTGTTATCATCGTGTCCATTGGGTGTATCGCGATCTCGCTGCTTAATGCGGCGATTGCTGCTGCCTGTTTCGTTCAATATCTTAGCTTGAATAAATTCGAGGGTAAAAAAAGGTGATTGGGCTTACTGCGACCACGTCTAGTCCATATTCTGTTAACATATTCGACGACTCACGAATACCAAGATATCCTTTGCGCATCGAGACTGAAGGTTTAAGAAAGATGTTGGTTGTGGCAACATTTCTGAAGGGCGTCGGCTTGCGATTTACTGCCGTGCTCGGCCTCCGCGGGCCCCGACCGATTCCATTCCACGGGAGGCTCTGCATTCACATCATGAACAATGATGTCGGTCTCGCATACTCGTGGAGACTGAGTCATGCTGAGAACTAGATGGCTAAAATATGTCTGCAATACTTGTTGATGGAGAATCTGGTGCGTGATGATGAGACTTTGCTCGAGTACCCAAGATTTCTTGGACTATTCAACAGTGTATTGATCAGATCACGTGAGGGAAATGGATCTAACTACCTATACCCTGTTGGTCTAGGTGCGGTTTATGAGTTGCAAGTGTGCTGAGAGTAATGGTTCTGTGCGCCGCGTTCCTGGCATCGTTCAGTGTTCAGTGGCTGCTCGTAGAGAATGATTATCAAATCTGAAACGTTCTTGCCTCTACTGCCACAATGACTCATACTCGATTGCACTCACCCCCGCCCTATGTTTTATTCTCGATGTCGTCTGTCTTATAATATTCGGTACGCACAATCCCGCGATGCGTTTGGGCTTGCATGTCACAGACTGTGACCTGCCTCCGAAGACGTTCCTTCGCGATACCCTATGACCTAACCACCCGATCGGGACTAGCTTCACAACCTAGCTTAGTTTCTTCGTTGAATGCATATCCTACATTTTCGCGATTTCTTATCGCCAGCGTAGCCGTTCGTTACAGCGTCATACAAATACGCCCAGTAGCGAATTTCGCGATAACCGTATCATATCCGACTCTAGTGTCAGATTACTATTGCAGTCTCGCAGCTGTTTGTCGCGCGTCTTGACCAGGATGTCTGAAACATCGGAAAAGAAGACTTTCAGAGTATTACACGAGTCGATAGACCAGACCTTACGCAGAAAGAGATTTTACCCAGAATGGCCTGAGATAGAAGAAGTTTGGGCAGAAAACATTTTCTCAAAATCAGTAGTAAATAGATACGAAAGAAGATTGCTTCTTACCCGGGCCTAAAGATATGAAATGCGGGTTAATCGCATTCAAAGAATTCAGACAGGATACCAGGAAGGAAAGAATATGGATAGCGGATGAGTTAGGCATAACTCCTTCAGTATTCGATGACACAGTTAGCGGGGCGCTGGAAACGGCCCTCATTGCACCGTCCGGCTGCCGCCCTCCAACGCCTGCCGTTGGTGGGCATCTCACTGTCCATTGTAGTATAGCGCTGACCGCTTTGGGGATCGCGTTGCCCTCTCGCCGCTTTTGCGGATTGCCCCTGCCGCCCCAAACACATCCACTGCATCTATATAACTCTGTCCTCTCTCCCTCGAACGACCACGCACTTTCTCTTCCCTTTTCCCTCTTCCCTCTCCCGTCCTGCCTCGCCCGGTGCACTGCGCCCTTCCAACGATGCCGCGTTACCCGTCCACTGCCTTTTTCCAGTTTGGCGCCGTCCACTCCCCTTCCTTCGCCCCCTTCAGCTACGGCGTCGCCGGCCGGTCATCTGGATGATTGAGACTTTGAGACCTGTTTACCGTCGCCTTATTGGCTTGTGAGCTATCCACTTCACCCCCTGATGCTGTACTGCTGCTGATTACTGTAGTCATGGGGCCTTTCAATAGTAAATTCCGCCAGCTGATCGGCACTCTGGAGTTTTTGGCTGTTGCTTCTGGCATGCCACCCCATTTGCGCTTTCTGTCGAGAACTCCTTGATCCTCAACCGTCCTTCTGCGATCTCCCATATCGAATAGCTCGATTTGCTTCTTCAGCCGGGCCCCAAATGGTCCATATAGGAAAGACAACCTCCTGGTTATCCAGCTACCAGGTCTAACTTGCGGCGTGCGAGTGACGCCTGGGTGAACCAGGTTGCGCCCCTCCCCTCCACGGCCGTCTTCGACCCCACCAGGATCGATTCTTTTTGCATATCTTTGCCTTGCTTACCAGCCAATGGCAAAATTGCCGCATCCCTTTCATTTCAGCATGTTTGGCATGCGAGGCTTGGAGCTGTAACGCCCAGATACAATTGGTGCAGGACACCGGATCCCGGCCTTCAGGCAGCCCTCGCAGGACCCTGCCACTTCCCAAGCATAATCTCCCTGCGCGGCCACCAGCCGAAGTTTGTGTGCCTACCAATGCGGGCACTCAGCCGTGTCCACTATCCTCAAGCTCCCAATTCCAACCACGGGAAATAGCTACATCCAAACCGCATACATATACCGAGACCCCTAAGCACAGCACAACATCTCCAGACAATTTGGCGCCTATTGTCTCAGAACCGGCTATGATTTCTCGCTATGATCTTCAAGACAGCACCGATATCCCAATCAAGCCGCCCCCCTTCCGGGGAGATTTTGCAGAGGATGGTCTATCGTCTCCAAGTATATCCAGCTCCGATGACTATCTGGAAGGTTTCTTGAGGCCTGCAGATGCACAGGACGACATTCCCATTGACCTGGTAATCCTGGCCAGCCACGGGTCTTGGGAGGATATGGACCTCCAGCTATCAGTCCCACAAGTCGCCGATAGCCTCATCAATTCCGAGACGATTTGTCCTTATCCTGACCCTCCGCCTGTTCCTCACAACCCAATTGGTCATTCTCGAGATCCCAGCGAAGGGGCTAGTGGCCAGAATGACAGCCCTCCGCCAAGTGACCACCCTCATATCCCTGACAGTCAACAACTGCGCCCCTCCTCCCAACAAGACACCGGCCCCGACGAATCCTACTCTAACAGCTCCCGTGGAAATCACCACGTCAGTGGAAAATCCACTGGTACCAAGCGAAAGACACAACAATTAGATGAGGGCGCTCGGAAACGGTCTCGAGCTCGCTCCACATTGCCCTCCAAGGAGAACTCCTTCACTGCCCTTCGTTCTCATTTTGTATCTCTACCACTCGACGAGCGTTTGCAGTTTCTCTCTTGGCTATTTGAAGGCGCTTTGTCACGTTGCATGTCAGACTGTGAACAAGGAGATGCATGGTCAACCAGTCACTCGACTCTCCCTGGTGCGATTGAACAAGCACGGCGAGGTAGCACAGAGGTCCAAGGAAGCTCAAGGAAGCGTACAGAATGGTCTCCGGAAGAGTCGGACCTTCTGCTGAAGCTGCGAAAAGACGAGAAACGGCCATGGGCAGAGGTCACGAGGTTATTCTCGGAGGAATATCCAGGAAGAAGTTCAGGCGCGATCCAGGTATACTGGAGTACGACCCTTAGCAAGAAAGAGGATTAATGTTTCGCGGGAAAGTATATACCACATTTCGGACTGGTTTACAGACTACAACATGCAACCGTCCTCCCCCAGGAGCCTAGCACGGACCCGTGCTCCACCACTCTGGCTCAACCGGCGACCCCAGCATGAGGAGCAGCCTAGGTTAACACCATTACCCAGCTGTGTACTTCGTTCTCGAGCGGAAAAATGGTCAAATTGACTGCCTGTCACTCTTGATACTCTGTTGTGTCTTGGAAGGTCCCCCTCAGCTTTCTCAGAGCCAGTGCCATTGAAAGACTCCGCGACACCAATTTCGTGTCCTGCAGATACAGACCCCTGTGTGACCGCGCCCACACCCGAACAAGCAGGCAATGCCTCTGGCAGCCCACCCGCGCGGGGTGATTCCCAGCAAGAATCAGCCAAGCAAGAGTCGCCCATCACAGGAGCAGGTCACTCAAACAGTATTTACCCTCGACACTGCGGAAAGGATATGGAGCCACATCAGTCACCTGATCTGGGTAAACATCCTGCTCCGAGGCGATCAGTGTCCCAGAGTAACGATGCGAGGGAGTTGATTAGAAGTTGATGGGAAAAGTCGAGGTGGCGCAGACAACTTGCTTGCCACTAATGCTGGGGCGCAGTCCCCCAGCCTGAGAGGATCGCTGCAAGCGGCAGTTCCGGGTTGAAATACCACAAGAGTCTGGGGAAAGATCTTGGGAGATAATCTATCCGTAGTTAAAGAGGAAAATGAGGACCTGTAAATTCCCTCTTGTGGTTTTGCTGTTTTCGGGCTAGCCACCCAATACGCCGTATGGTCATCACCGCCCGTCAGCTCCTCAAGAACCATCCTTGCTGTTCTGACCTCCCAATCCCTTCTTTTCCCAAAATCCCCTCCCATATTCTGCACCCACGCGATCGCGATCCGTCGTCTCAATTACTCCAAAGACTCCCGCCCCTTTCGCCCCCCTTCGCCCTCTTTTTCTTGTCAGAAATTGCGCCAGCGCCCTTTTTCCATCACCTCCCTTTCCAGATTCTCTGCCCCGTCAGTTTGGACTAGATACTTACTGTCTTCTGATTATTGTCAGTACTCTCCTTCTTTCTTGTAGTATGGAGCTCCCTCTCCGCGCCTGTATTAAGTCTCTTTCGGGTCTCCTTCCTGTTATGTACGTGTGGAGTATACATACTAAATTCCTGTTACTCTTGGTGAAGATGATCAGGAGAGTATCTTTTAAAGCGACTCTAATTTGCATGTACCTTCAGGACATCCAACAGGCAGACAAGAAAGGCCCGTGTTATGTGGGTAAAAGTGAAGTTGTCATTTCTAAACTACAATCTGTATAGCCATCTTATAGCCCTATTTAGTTACACCTGTGCATTCCTGATCCCTTCCTTGATCTCCCTGTAGTGATGCCAGTGACCTTTGGAATGACATTTGGAGTGGTAGGCCAAGTCTAGGCCAGCAAGGGTCTGTAGATTAGTGAGTCAGAATCCTCCACCTCTCCGGTTGACAATATTATTCCAACAATAACTTTGATTTCCCCACTTGCAGATAATGGAAGCGGCCCGTAGTAGGCTCTGAGCACATGATTATCAAGTAATATAGTAGCTCCAAACTGAACAGTGACTGAGGACTTGTCCAAGTCGCTGAGCGTAATGGGTTGTATGATAGACCAATCATTTGTGACTCGAAAAAAACCTGGTGCATCTCCGCACATACCCTGTTTATTTCTGATCTGAGCACTCGTGCTTGATGGCTACTGGCCGATGGAAAAACGCCTCACAAATCATCCTAGCATTGCGGGCTGCTCTCTGGTGTACCCACTGTACTGGCCCAAAGGGGGCTAGTAAGTGGGAACGCTGTGCGGTCAACTGAGTCCACATGCGGCTCAAAGGTTGTGGAGCATATTTCCAGATGCTATTTCTAAAATTGAAGAAGCGGGGACTGCGCTTCTTACGCCCAGTCGATAAAGTTTAATCGAACACTGATTTGGCAGCGGATTCATTTCCTTGAACCAGGAAATATGCTATTTCGTCCTCGAAACTAAGAACCGACCCTGGACGAACATGGATGCAGTGTGCTCGAAGTCACTGCATGCTGCTACGACCAAGAAGACCCACCGTAATCTGCTAACTACCCCGGACTGGACTCTCAGCACAGCCTCGGGCCTGACTCCCCCCCTACGGATCAATATAAACATGGATCTGCGGTTGCTGCGATGGTGGTCGGTAATCGACTTGGCGTGTGTCCAACGTGCACTTTGGTCGTGGTCACCACCCAGCAACCGACCAGGGAAGTGGGAGACTGGTTCAATTATCCCAACGAAAAGATCATTGCGCAACTTATCGACGTCCAGGATGATGTCAAGAACAAGAACCGGCAGGGCAAGGCGACTATCAACATGAGTTTTACCTACAAGCCCAATAAGAACCCGCACCATACCTTTTTCCGGGTTTTCCGTGAATAATTTCATCCGAGCTCTCCTTCGAATTATGGTGCTGATCAACGATATCAGGAGCCCTCCTACAGAAGCTGAAGGAGCAAAACGTCGTCATCGTCGCGTCGGCCGGCAACCACGCGCTGGAGCCGGAAGGCGTCCCTGTGATAAGATATCCCCCCAAGTTCGCAGACCCTAACGATCAGTATGGCGGCCTTCCTAATATGATCGTGGTTGCGGCATCGGAGAGCTTTGCAAGGGATACTACTGTGATCCGCACCCGGAGATTCCTTATCCCCCGGATTACTATGATCCCAAGGACCCGAAGAACCCTCATGGCCAGCCCCCGGCGCCTCCTAAGCCAACATCGACGACGACCGGCAGCCCCCCAACAAAGACGCCAGAGCCCCCCGAAGGAACATTCCCATTAGACCTCTGTGTTGGCTCCACCGTGACGCCCTCCGGGCAACTCCCCGTCTACTCCTATAGCGCCTATGGGGCGGGTAAGTGACCATCCTCTCCTCTCCCCTCTCCCCTAACCTCATTTTTTTTTATAGACGAGCTAACTCTCCCCCTCCAGGCGCCCACTGCTACGGTATCTTCATCGTCGACGGCAATATTGGCTCCTCCCCAGACATCTGCGACGCGCCTAATAACAACTTCGCTCTCGATCAATGCGGCACCGACATGATCTTTGTCAATGAAGGGCCGGAATTCTTCGACGGCTGCGGCTACCAAATCGAGATTGCGGGCAAGAAATACACCCCGCGCAAGCTGGACCCCCAGGACGAGGATAACCCGTGCTCGGGGCACTGTGACCTGTCGTTCATTACGGGGCTTTTGTTGTATGAGAATTTATCTGTTCCTGATTGTGAGGCATAGGTTCGTTGGTTGGGGAAGATGGAGATAGTTAACTAGATATATACAATAAGTAAGGCTATATATATTGTGTCATATATGGCTGGATTTGCAGGGAAAATCATGTACAGGTTAGATGTTGAAGGAATGTAAGATAGCATAGTCAGTCAAGGCCTTCTTATTATATATTCCGTTGTTCTTTTGCCCTAGTGATATATATATATTCTACTAGCTCACAGTCCCCTCAATAGCTCATAACATGTCTTACAGCGAGTCTTCGTAAAAGTTCCTCATCTTTATTAACTTTAATTATCGATAAGAAGGAGTGATCTGAGAGACGATCAGGAATAATCATCTCATCTATCTAGTTCAGCAAGTAGTCTTGAACTTTCAAGGAGGATTCTTTACGGAGAAGGTCTCTAGCCCTTCAAACGAGTAACCTTTCGGAGCTAGACTGAAGGAGGCGGGTCTTTAAGCGGTAAGCTTGAGAGGGTAGTTGTGACGGGATCTTGAGGGACCTATAGCCTAAAGAGAGTGATTTTTACGGGTATATAGGCCTCAATGATAGCCTAGAGATAGGGGTAAAATCATAGTAAATGGTCCAGTAAAGTGTGGACCCGGCTCTCAGCCATGACGCGGACGCCGATGCAGCGTTCCCTCTCTACCTCCACGACCAGTCCCTCCCCAGTGGAAAGATCAGTCTCTGGTGGGGCGTTGTCTGCACTCCTCTCAGTTGCAGCTGAAGTCAAGCGCCTCGACACCTCGTCAATCGGGTTCACCCCCGGTGAGAATTCCATCGATGACGGGGTACTGGGTGGGCTCGGTCTAGTCAAAGCTGAAACCAAATCCCTGTCTACCTCCTCGAGCCGTTTCTCCCACGTGGCAATATGAGTCTCTGGCACGGTTTCGCGTAGGAAGTCGGTCAGCCCGCCGACCACCTCGACTAAACTAGAGACGGGGGCCGGTCTTTGTTGTTCTTGTTGTTGTTGTTGCTTCGGGGCAGTCTCTGGAGAGGGTCGACGGATTCTGATGAAAGAGTATTGTAAGAAGGCGCCGTCGTCGCTGAATCGGCCACGGCGGTCTCGTCGATCCATAAGAACCACCCAGCTCCCGGGGGGGATCTCCCTGCGTCGGACTCGGGACGGGTCGTCGGGGGCTAGCTCGTCGTCGAAAAATCCAGCGGGGATTGGCCTGACACCCAATTGATCTGGCCATGACTGGAGCGGCGGTGGCCGCGGCGGTGGCCCCCGGGGCGGCGACGGGGGGTCGTTGTTGTTGTTGTTGTCGTCCTCGTCGATGGAAGCGAGTGACGAGAACGCCCCATGATATGCAACTCGCAAGATGGCCTTGTCGGGATCCGAATCCGGACCTAAGGACCGGAGGTATACCAGAAATCGGACAGCGAAGCTCTCGGCGTTTAACCCAGTATTATCCATGGAGTAGTAGCCGCTGTACCAGGGACGAGCAGGGTGGACGACGTGGTGGTCTGCAGCTGCGTCTCGGACATCTTCGCGCTGGGGGCTGACAAATGTGAACAGGTGGATCATGGGAAAGACTTGAGCGCCCGAGGTGAAGCTAGAACCCAAATTCGTCGTCGAGGATATTGCTCGAAATTCGCGGCCGCGTAAACCGTTTAACAAAGCGGAGGTCGAATGGATGGTTCTCAGCCGGAGCGACTCCAAGTCTTCTCCTGATTCCCTCGGCCACAGCCGCAGCAGCTGCGAGCAGAGATGAGCGGAGGCATCGTCGCTGTTCCGGTCTGGCTGCTGCAAGAAGCAGAGCTGTTGAAGGGCCGTGGACTGTGCCAGGGCCGCGGCGAGATCACCAAGGTCTGATTCTCCATCTTCCTCATCTCCCACCAGCTGGAACAGATTGACGCAGAGGCTGAGTGCAGACGCACCTTGAAGTTCATCCGATGCAATGGCGGCCGCGATCACGCGAGGCGGCAGGTTTCCAAACATCACCCAGTTAAGGTGACGGCATCTAGCGTATGCCACGCGCAGCACATGACTGGAGATCTGGGAGGAGCCGAGCCTCTCTGGCACCTCTTCGAGCCGCTGCCGCAGCTGCTCGCGGAACTGGGCAAGTACTTGAAGGTTGGCGAGCGCTTCTTTCTCGAGGGGACCGGAGGCGGGCTCCTGGGTGAGAACAAGCAGATCATCAATGGTGCGGACCATGCCTACGGGGTCATTTTGCGGCGGTTGGTCTACTATGGTGTAGCCTACCATATCAGGCGGGGATTGGGTGGCGATCTTTGAATGTCTGAAGTCTGTTGGAGAGATTAGCAAATGTGATCGATATGGGTTCACCTGGAATAGCGCCAGAGATCACCTTCTAAAGATGTTCGAGCCGGATCCTCCAGCTCTGGTGGCCAGATATCTACCATTATTCCCCCTGTCAGCACCTGCAAAATCGTCCGGGTGAACAGACGTACAATCCAAGGCTACCGCATCAGCCAGCGGCCTCTCCTCTAGTTTGAGGATGCAAGGCGCCTCTTCCAGGCCCGACCAGTAGTAATACTTCGATACCCACTGCGAGATTGACAACAGCTCTCGAGGCCGCGGGCTCACGAGTACAACATCGGGCTCCTTTTCCGGCTGAGGGTCTTCGACGGGATCCCAGCCGATCATCTCGCCGCGGTATTCAACCTCAGCCATGTAGTTCATGGGAAACGCAACGATGCCGTACTTGACGCCGCTGGCGAGGTCGGAGATGTCGAGAATAACCAGGCCATACTCAGTGCAGTCGGCCCGGAACAGCGTCGATAGCGGCTGGAACTGGACGTCGCCGGGGCGGGTGCGGTTGTCGCGAGTATCGCGCAACAACGCCAGCAAAACACACGTCGCGGTGAAGGGAAACTTGCTGGGCGCATCATCCCGCCACGGCAGCGGGGGTTGTTGTTGCCCTGGCTCCCGCCGCTTGTACCAGGGCACGAACGGGGGCTGCGCGGTGTCGGGCACGCTGGGCCGCTCATGAATCGGAGGCTCGTGGCCCTGAGACCGACGATACCAGTCCTCCGCGAGCGCCCTCTCGGCCTCCAGCGGCGCGCGGTTCGCGGGATCCGAGAGGATTTCGGTCAGCGCAAGGATGTCGGTCACCATACAGTGCACTCGTCCCCAGGATATCTGTGAGTTGTATTCGTCGTGGTGCTGGTGGTAGGCCACGGCCAGGGAGCGGCTGGCGCCGCCGGGACCGACATTGGCGACGACGGCGAAGAGGAAAGAGCGAGGGGTTCTGGAGTAGAGAGTCGTGTATCCCAGCATAATAATTGTATTCCTTGAGCAGCTGGGGGGGATATAAGAAAGAGAAAAAGCCAGCAAAAGAGGGGCTGGCCTTGGCCAAGAGAACTGTTAGTGAGTTCCCGAACAGGCTTAGAATGTAGAGATTTCATACTTATCTACCTCTAGTAGACCTGTGTTGGTTTCAACTGGTAACTTAACTTTGATCAGCCAGAATAGACCATAAGCTAAGCCTCAGAGATCGTCGGTCTCAAATTGCTAGCTAATCGCTGTTCCCCTTGCAGCAACGGATCACCACGGCAAACATGCATATGACACCTAGTTATCGGCATGGCTGGTCACCCTCCTTCTGATGGGAATAAATAGATCTGGTAAACCTACAAAGTCCAGGCTGTAAAAGCCACCAGAGCCAAATCTCCCGATGGAAACTCTCAAGTTTCTGCTAATCTCCTGCCTGGTGGTTGTTGGGGCTCATTGCGAATCACTCTTGCCCCCCAGCCAAGATCCATTCTATCGCCCCCCAACACAAACCAGAATCACCACCTGGAAGCACCCTAGCCATTAGGAACGCTCCATATCCCTTCACACAACCGTTAACAGAGTTTGTTTCGGCCGCATACCAAATCTTATACCGGACCACCGATTCATTCGGACACCCAACCGCCGCTGTCACCACCATTCTAATTCCGCACAACCCTAACGACAAGATCTTCACGTACCTGGCAGTAAACCTAGCGCCATATGTTGACTGCTCACAATCCTATGTCCTGGCCGAGGGTGTTCAGGGTGACAAGCTGGATTCGAGTATCTTCACCTCTCACGACACATTATCCTTCCCTTCAATCTTCGGCAGAACCGGAAAGCCCTGGATAAAAAGGCTTGGGAGCACCTGTGGAATCTCTTTCCAGACACCAAAGCCGTGTCATTCGATGGGTACTTTTTGGTGTTTACTCTCGGCTCCCTGCCTGAAAAGCCGTGGCCGATTACCGTTGCAGGTGTCCAGCCATACTTCACTACCGACCTAAATGACGACGGACCAATCCCCCCAATCAAGCGCGCAAGTAAAATAGTACGCCGCATCTTCGTTGAAGAAAATCTTACCAACGTTCTGCCAGCTAAGATTGATGCAGCCTTTGAGCTCGTTATCAACTACTTCTCAAGCTCCAACATTTCCGTTACAGAAATTCAATATTGGAATAATTTCTTTATCATTGTCCTTGATAACGAGGATGTTAATATGGCTGAGGTTCCCAGTGCAATTGGACGTTGTGCGTGTTTTTACCTGTATGAAAAGTAGATAGGCCGTCCTCATTCGGCTAAAATTCCAGCCCAACGAATCTGCGACCCAACTGAGGGCGTCGTGGATAATAGCAAATATGAAATTTTGCGTCCTGGTGTAATGCTCAGTTCCGACAAGCACCCAGTCAATGGAATGGAATTGCGTACGACTTCGGGTGTGCTCGTCGAAGACGGGATAGGCGAAAGATACCTGACTGTCGCGTCGCACGGTTTTTCAGACGACGATAGGGTCTTCCACCCATCCACAGGAGGCACGGATATTGGCCAGGTTATCATGGAAATCTTATACACTCTCCAACTACGAGGCCTCTGAACAGACCCCTTCGTGGATGAGTTACTACGAACGAAGGAGGCACGGCAACCAGGGCAGCAGCAGCTTGAAGCTTCCCCTCTCCGATGCCTCCTCCCACGGGAAACTATGCCACGCCTTCGTCCGTACCGACCCCCCGTGGACCAACCGCCCTAAATACCCTACGCATCCCGTTATTTACACCAAGAACGGAATCCCGTTCCGGCCTACAAAACCCGAAGAGCCCTAACAGAGGGTATCTCGCCTACGTGGGCCCGTAAGTTCAGGAAGCAGTATGGGGCGGCGCAAGCGGGCTCGATTCAGCACCAAGCAAAGGCGGAATACTTCGAATACCGGCTCGACCACGCCTCCGGGGGCCTTAGCGCCCAGGGACCCCCGGGCCCAAACGCAAGCGAAACACTGCGGATCCTGCAGTACAACATCGCAAGGGCCTACAGTGGCAGCTTCTCTACCTGAAGCAACAAATCGTGTCGATATATATATCCACGCGAGGCCCTGCGGGAAACTGGCCTGGTCATGGCCCTACCGACCTCCTCGTGTTCATTCATAACGTTTACAACCACCCAGGGCCTTCGAATGCCGGCATCCACGAGCTCCGGGAGGCCTTTCAGGCTGCTGAGTCGACCCTGCGGCCCCTAGAGGCAACTGCGGCCGCCGGGGGCCACCACCACGTCGTGATAGGGGACTTCAACCTCCACGACCAGGAGTGGTCAGGCCCTACTCACCCTAGGCCTCACCTCAACCGGGCCAAGGTCAACGAATTCAAGGAGCTCATGGAGGAGATCCCCCTTGCTATCCTGACCCCTCCAGGCTCGTCACCAGGCCTGCCCGGCCATCCCGTGAGCACGACGAGCCCGAGGTGGCAGAGGCAGTCCACGTGGGGACCACGATCGATCTCTGCTTGAGCACCTGGGGCCTGGAGGAGCAGGTGCCTCAGATAGGGGTGGATGAAGCGATAGCGGGCGATTCTGACCACAAGCCTATATCAACACCTGCCTCGTGGCCAAACAGCAACGCCCACGGCGCAACTGGGCGTCCATGGACCTCGCTAAGCTCGCCCGAGCCACCAACGAGCTGCTGCCCCCTCGGCCCTTCGGGTCCCTGACCAAGGACCACCTCGATGACGCCATTCACGAAACGATCAAGGCCATCCAGTAGGGAATCGACCAGTCAACCCCTTAGCTGCGTCTCTGCGAACATTCGAAGCCCGGATTCACCCCCGAAGCGCGCGAAACGCAGCGACTGAGCAATCAGCTCAAGCGTGAAATACTGGGCCTGCAGCGCAGCTGTCACCCAGTGCCGGAAGACCTCTATATGAGGCGCCTGCAGGCCCTGCGAGCCGGGAAGAAGGCCATGAAGCGCATTCGAGCCACTACGTACCGCAAGCACGTGGAATCGATCAGTGGCAGTCAGGATAAGCTCTGGCGCCTAGTCAGGGCCGCTAAAGGGGGCGGGGGCATGCAGGCCTATACCCCGAGCACTTCAGGGAGGCGCGTACGATCGCCCTGCGCAAGCCCGGGAAGCCCGACTACCCGATCCCGAAAGCGTACCGGCCTATCGCGCTACTCAATACCCTCGGAAAGGCCCTGGAGAGCGTCCTCGCTACGAGGCTCAGCTATCTGGCTGAAACCTACAACCTCCTACCCATTAACCACTTAGGGGGCCGCGGCACCGAAGCAGCCCTCCACACAGTGGTCAAAGTCATCCAATCGGCCTGGAAGCAGGGCAAGATGGTCTCCATTCTCTACCTCGATATCTCGGGGGCCTTTGATAACGTCTCGCATCCCCGATTGCTTCACAACCTGCGCAAAAGGGGCGTGCCCCTCGAGATCGTTAACTGGATCGCCTCGTTCCTATCCAACCGCTATACGACCCTCGTCCTCCCCGAATACACCAGCCCCAGGGCCCCCGTCAACACCGGGATTCCACAGGGCTCGCCCCTATCGCCTATCCTCTATATATTCTACAAAGTGGACATGATGGTGGGCAAGCACACGGTGAATATCAGCTATATCGACGACACTACCATCATTGCGATAGGGGACTCGGAGGCCGAGAACTGCGCTACCCTGGAACGGGAGTTCCGGGTCACCTCTGTCCCATGGTCAGAGACCCACGCCTCGGTCTTTGCACCCGATAAATTTCAAGTGGTCCACCACCACTGCCCGGTCAGGCCTCGCACCACGAAGAGGAGGCGTTCTTTAGCCTCTACCCCGGCCCCCATTCCCGCAGCGCGGCGTCCAAATCGCAGTACGCGGCCACGAACGGCCCCCAGGGAAGTGCAATCCGATGACGAGGAGGCCGACCCTGACTGGGCCTCGCAGTCGAGCTCGTCCTGGTCCTCAGCAGCATCCTCAGGGCCTAGGCGCCCCGAATACCCGGTGCCGCCACCGAAGCTGGAGACCCCTACCTCGCTCGATCTAGGCAACGGCCAGGTGGTCAAGGCTTCAAGGTCGGCCAAGCTGCTCGGGGTTCAACTGGACGAGAACCTCACCTTCGGGTCCCATATCGAACAGGTGGAAGCCCGACCCTCCAAGGCCCTGCAAGCGATCAATGCCTTAGGAGGCAGCAACTGGGGCATCTCCACGAAGGAGAGGTGACATATATATCTCGCATACGTGGTCCCGGTCATGACCTACGCAACTTCGGTGTGGAACCTCCCGAAGGCCCGTGGCCGAACCTAGGTAGTCAACAAGCACCTCAAGGTGCTCACCGAGTTCCAACGCCGCGCAGGGAAGGTCATTTCGGGGGGCTTCAAGCTCGTCGGCGCTGACGCCCTCAACGCTGAGCTGCACCTACTGCCCCTCTATCTTCAACTGCAGCAAGCCCAGCTCCAGGCCCTGACCCGATTGGCCTCCTCGCCCCTATACGACCAACTGCTGAGCCATCGAACAACCCCTCCGAGTCAGGGCCCCCTAGCCAGCCCCCTCCTGGCCACTGCTATCGAGCACGCTGCGGCCACCTTCATGGAAGAGGCGCAGATTGACGTGCTGGCCATGGAGACACGCATCCCCTACCCCGTGGCCCCCTGGTGGGACCCCCCGAAGGTCTGTATCGAGCCTTCGAAGAATTTGGCTATCACCCACCACGAGATCCACGCCATTGCCTTCCCCAACCGAACGAGGCTTTATAACGACGGCTCAGGGATCGAGAGGATCCCCGGGAGCGGCGCCCTGAAACATATCGGCGCTGCAGCGGTCTCGGTAGACCACGGGTTCACCACGGCCTACATGGGGACGGAGCGTGAATGCACTATCCCTGCAGCCGAGCTTGCGGGCATTATCTTAGCCCTGCGGCTGGCTATGGACCACCCACTGCTCTGCGGGCCCCTGGAGGTCTACACTGATAACCAAGGGGCCCTCAGGAACTTGATATCTCCCGGCATGGGCTCCGGGCAGTACCTGGTGCGGGAGATCATTGATTTACTTGCCGAGAGGCGCCAGGCGTACGGGGACTCCGAGGAGGTGGCATTCTACTAGATCCCCGCACACCTAGAGGTGCCAGGCAATGAAATGGCTGACGAGGCTGCTAAGAAGGCCACGGGGTGGAGGGAATCGGGCCCTCCAACCCCCCCTGCGGCCCGCCTCGACCTCGGCCACAACACCCACCTACGCTCCGCAGTAGGGGCATGGGTCAAGCGTCATATCAAGGAGGAATGGAAGAACAACTGGCAGCATGCGGACCATGGCGGCTTTCTACGGCAGTGGCTCCCGGAGCTTGACCCGCAAAGCAAGGCCTTGGTGCGGTATAGCGGGCTGACGACCCCGGAGGCAAGCGCCTTGTTTCAAGCCCGTACGGGCAAGATCGGCTTCAACCACCTCTTAGCCACGATCAAGCGCTCCAAAACAGCGCTTTGCCCCTGCGAGCAAGACCGTGAGACGATCACCCACGTCCTGCTTCACTGCACCCGCTACGATGCTCTGCGGCGCCAGCTCTGGGGGTCTGACTATACCAGCCACCCCCAGCACACCCGGGACGCCCTGACCGACCCCAAATACGCCCCCCGAACGGCCAAGTTCCTCCTAGCCACGGGCCGCCTACCCTACCTCAGGGAGATGGTCCCTATGAGGGTCACGGAGGACGGGGAGGCGGTCGAGGTGCGTGAAGAAAGGGTCAGCGGGGCGGAGGCCCTACCGGAGGAGGACTACGAGGGACGTGGAGGCACAATGGAAACAGGGCCGCCACTGGGCGGGGCGGAGCGAAACCCCGGCGCAGGGGACAGCAGTATGGGCCCCGATGAAGCGGTGATTCGGGGTATTGGTCATAGGCGCGCCCCAGGGGAGCAGCTGAACCCCTAATCCTGATGACCTGACCACTGAATATTTCCACACTGCTGTATCCAAACCTATGAGATCGCGGCGAGCTGGCGGTATGCTTAGGGACTCTTTAAAAACGATGTTGGTGTTGCAGAGGGCTATTACGGGCTTGATCAGGCGGGATACGAGGGCTACGATGGTGAACAAGGTGGCCGGCGGAGGCTACGGGTGATATTGGGACCTTTACTGGCCACCTTTACGTGGGCGACGGTTGAATATATATATCTGCGCGATCAGGCCTTTAGTGGTCAACTGGGGCTTCAATAACTCTATAGGATAACTTAGCGTATCATGCTGCCACCGTAAACTCCAGCGTGGCCCCGTACGGGTGCCGAAATGGAGGATAATGGAATGAATCAATCAATCAATCAATCGACTAGTTGTGTCACCGGACGCTGTTGGGTTCGTAGCAGGTGAGCTCGCCCCAACGGAGTATGGCACTACATATAATAGGTTGGATAATGGAATCCCGTAAGGATTCTATTTTGGTCTTTTAACTTATATAAGAGAGTAGACTATCCACTGCCTCTCTTATAAATAAAGTTCAATTACTTACGATAGAGAAGGGTCGCTAGTGAGTGCGTTTGGCCCAAATTTGTATATATGGCGGGTTGGAAAATAGGATCTTATGGAACTTTATATTAGTCTTTTTAGTGCCTATGATAAAAGGACTTGGCCATTTTTTATGCGATTTTATGCGATTTTATGCGATTTTATGCGATTTTTTCTGGTTGCGGACTGGCCGCTATCGCTTGCCGTAGATAATCTCCCACGCTGGTTGGCCCGCCAAGCCGGGCGGTGAGCGCGGCAGCTCCAGCAGTGACGATTCGGCGTCCTCCATCTGCCTTGTCATCACCTCTTCCAGCTCATTCCGCCGCCATTCCTCGACCACTGCCATCCCATCCTGCTCGCAATCTCTTTGAGAAGATACCTGCACGCATCCTAGTACCTCACATATACCCATACAGCTATGGCGCCCTCCTCGATAACCGCTCAGCGGGTCGAGGAAGCTCGGACTCTCTCCAAGACCAACCCTTCCAAGGCTGAGAGTACCTTCAAAGAGATCCTGGCCCAAGGGCCTGGGTCGACGGAAGCTTCCTCTCGTGATTATGAGAATGCTCTGGTTGGGCTGGGAGAGCTGTACAGAGATGGAAAGAAACCCCAGGAGATCGCGGACCTCATCAAGACCAGCCGGGACTCGTTCTCGTCATTCGCCAAAGCCAAGACTGCAAAGCTAGGTAGGTTGAATTGAAAATGGGCGGACAAACTCGCCCGTGGGACAAATGGAATCTGAACTGACTCTTTTGCTTTTCTCCTCAAAAAGTCCGCCAGCTGCTGGACTTGTTCAGCGAGATCCCCAACACGCTCGATATCCAGACCTCCGTCATCCAATCTTGCATCGACTGGGCCATTGCCGAACGCCGGTCTTTCCTTCGTCAGAACCTCCAGACCCGTCTGGTAGCCATTTACATGCAGAAACAATCCTACTACGATGCTCTCAACCTGATCGGACCCCTCCTCCGCGAGCTGAAGCGATTGGATGATAAGCTCATGCTGGTCGAAGTGCAGCTGCTGGAGTCGCGGGTGTATCATGCCCTGGGCAACCAGGCCAAGGCGCGTGCGGCCTTGACGGCTTCCCGGACATCGGCCGCGTCCGTCTACACACCTCCCAATCTGCAAGCCGGCCTGGACATGCAAAGTGGTATGCTGCACGCGGAGGACAAGGACTTTAACACCTCGTACTCTTACTTCATCGAGGCCCTAGAGGGCTACAGCTCGTTGGACGAGGGCGAGAAGGCGACCGCGACTCTTCAGTACATGCTGCTCTGTAAGATTATGTTGAACTTGGTGGACGACGTGACGAGCCTGCTGGGCTCCAAGCAGGCCCAGAAGTATGCCAGCCCGCGGCTCGAGGCCATGAAGGCCGTGGCGCGTGCTCACGCCAACCGGTCGCTGGAAGAGTACGAGAAGGCTCTCTCGGACTACCGGTTTGAGCTGGGCAGCGATGCGTTCATTCGCAACCACCTCCGCCGACTCTACGATGCCATGTTGGAGCAGAACCTGGTCAAGGTGATCGAGCCCTTCAGCCGAGTGGAGTTGGACCACATCTCCAAGATGGTCGGGCTGGACACGCAGCAGGTGGAGCGCAAACTTTCCCAGATGATTCTGGACAAGGTGATCATCGGTGTGCTAGATCAAGGCTCGGGATGTCTGATCGTCTACGACGAGACGGAGCGAGACCAGGCCTACGACGCTGCCTTGGATACCGTGGCCAAGCTGAGCAACGTGGTGGAGGAACTGTACACAAATCAGGCCTCGCTGTTGGAGTGAGTGGAGGGGGGAAGAGATGATGGCCGAGAAATGATATAGTATTTATTGCAGACATGAAATCGGAATAATTGGACCGCAGCAGGCAGGCTCCGCAGTGTAGTGTAATGTACGGAGTAGAAAGAGTACCTAAGAAGGAGAGCAAGTGACGGTTACCCAAACGGGACTAGCGCCCATCGCGGCAAAAGAATCGCGACGCCGCGAAAGAAACGACCTCCTTCCGACCCATCGGAAGCTCCTGTTCCATCGTGCACCCCCACACCGTCTTTGTCCCAACTCCTAATCAATCCGATCCGATCCCTTGTGGGTTCTGTCCCTGCTAAGTCACGAGCACCATGAATGCCCCAATGCCGCCCAGCTACGGCCGTGGCTTCCCGCAGGCCGCCCAACGTTCTCCTGCCACGCCTCGTCGCGGACCTCCAGGACCAGGTCGGTTCTTCGGCCCCCCTTGATCCGTCGTGCCCTTTTCCTCTCACGCTAACCTCCAATTTCTTTCCTCTGCCCAGGCCCTGCAATGCCGGTTCCCATGGCTCAACATCCCGTCCCCCCTCAGTATCTGCCTCCACAGCGCAACATGGCACACCCCAACGACACCGCTCTCCGTCGCAGCCGCAAGCCCACGGATAAGAACATCCCCGACGGCATTGAAGATGTGATTGTTGGCGAGGGTGTGCAGCAGTACAAGAGCCTGCGCGACCTGGAGAAACGGCTGGATGCCGCCATCGTTCGCAAGAGATTAGACATCCAGGACTCGATCAGCAAGACCGTCAAGAAATACCGCACCATGCGCATCTGGATCTCGAATACGGTTGAGTCTCAGCCCTGGCAGGACGCCAGCGGGCAGAACGGCTCGGCGCCCGGCAGTAACCCCGGCTCGGGACGGTACAAGGTCCGCATCGAGGGACGCCTGCTGGACGACGACAGTGACCCCACGGCAGCGGAGGACAGTGACGACGAGGGCGCCGCGGATGAATCGAATGGGGATGCTATGGAGCAGGATTCTTCGGAGGCCAAGAAATCCGGCGCCAAGCAGCAAAAGCAGCGCTTCTCACATTTCTTCAAGACCATCTCCGTGGACTTCGACAAGGCCTCCACGGTCAACCCGGAGGAGGTTAAACCCGTCAGCTGGATCAAGCCTCAGCTGCCTCCCAACGCCGTCTCGCTTCCCCCCTCGGCGGACTTCGATTCACTGCAGTTTTCTCGCGCCTCTCAGGAAAACTTGAACATCACCATCAGCCTGGTCCATGATGAGGTGCCGGAACGATACAAGCTGAGCAAGGAGCTGGCGGAGGTCCTCGACGTGGAAGAAGAGACTCGCAGTGGCATCGTACTTGGCATTTGGGATTATATCCGCGCCATGGGTCTCCAGGAAGATGAGGAGAAGCGCCTCGTCCGCTGTGATCACCGTTTACGATCGGTTCGTTTCCCCTTCCTTCCCTTTTGTTCCAGTCTCCCGGTTGCTTGCATCCATGCTAACAATGTTTGTTTCCCTCCGTCATACAGATCTTCGGTAGAGACCAGATGTTCTTCCCACAGATCCCCGAGAGCATCGGACCTCACACCAGCCCTATCGACCCCGTCAAACTGCCCTACACCATTCGCGTCGACGAAGAGTTCCACAAGAACCCCACCGCCACCGTCTACGACATCCAAGTGGCCGTGGAAGACCCTCTTCGCGCCAAGATGCTGGCCCTGACGAAAAACCACCAATACTCCTTGTCCATGCAGAAGATCACCTCTCTGGACGACCAAGTCGCCCTCATCATCCAGACCTTGACGCATTCCCGCGCCAGATATTCCTTCTACACCGCCCTCAGCAAAGACCCGGCTAACTTCGTGCGTCGCTGGATGAACTCCCAGCGTCGTGACCTCGAGACCATTCTCGGTGAGGCGACGCGAGGCGGCGGCGAAGACGGTAGCGGACCGGAGTTCCGTCGTGGAGGCGCCGACGGCGCTTGGGATACCCCTGCGGCTCACGAAGCTGTACGATACATGCTTGCGAAACCGGAGGCCGCGATGGGACGGTGATCTTTCTTACTCAAGCTGTGTTGGTGTTTGATATTCTTTTTTGGGTGATAATTTCCTCGGATATGGGAGGGAAAAATCTGTTGGGCTTGGAAGAGGCGCTTATGTGGTGTTTGGATTTGGAGTGTTACTTTTTTCCTCTTAAATATTCGATTGTTTTTCCTATCCCCCTTCTTTTTCTTTTACTCTGTCTGGACTCTGGAGTGATGTCACTCCAGTATAAATGTCATTTATGATACTCTTGATCGATATATCCCAGTAGAGGTAAATTTATGTAGATGTAGAGGACCATGTAATCTTGTTCAGGTTTCTAGTAATCTTGAGGCTGTCCCGACGAAGGAGAAAGAGAAAATCAAAGGAAGCCACAGACTCCATAGTCCAATCTAGTCGCGAGGATAGAAAAAAAGTATTCGTTCACGCTGGGGAACAAGACAGCCGGATCCATCATATGATAAACGACAACCTTTTGCTAGACCCTTCGACGCAAAGAAAGCTAACAGGCATGACGGAAATTGACGAGAAGGCATCAAGGCATCAAAGCATCAAAACATCAAGGCATCAAGCAGCGTTATATAACGTAGATAGAAAGATGACGAGAATAAATAGATGGATAAATAAATATAAAGAGACCAGCCCGAGTTCAACGACATCGTGATTTTCAAAAACAACAACTCCTCATCTTTCCTCATCTTCCAGAAGATATAAATGGATAAAAACTATGAATAAAGCAGTGGATTATGGGTAAAAAGGGAAAAAAAAAAAAATTTGAGTCCTGGTCAACAGAAGCATGTATTTAGGATTAGATATAATGCTTCGGATTTCGTTGGCACGTTTGAGCACTATTGTGCGGTTATTCGACTTGGGAGTCCCGGTCTCGTGCTGTCTGTGCAGGATGCAAAGATCAATCACGGTTGGAGTAAATCGGCCTTAAGACGCAGAGGCTACGTCGGCTTTCCTCCTGCGCAGTTCATCCGTGATACCGGTATCCACGGCCGAGGCGATCTTCTCGTTGATCTCATCGCCATGGAATAAACTCCCTTCCTCCTGCTCCAGCTTGGCGGCGGCGTCGAGAACGACCTTCTGCGCGATATCTTCCTTCAGCTGAGCGACTTTCTCTTCCTCTTTCGTTGCGGCAGGCGGCGGCTGAGCCGAGTCCGAGGGGCCACGGAACCGCTTCATGACAGTCTCAATCATCTTCGAGAACCAGTAGTAGTTCAGCGAGTTGAGGACCACGTTGGAGATGACGTACGTCAAGACCAACCAGGTGGGGACCCCGCCGGCGGTGTGAGAGGCGTAGCGGGAGAGTTCCGTGCCAGCACTCCGACAGACCTCGTCGAGCTCGTGGCAGTGGGCCGTGGGGTCGCGGAGGCCGAAGACCTGCGAGGAGATGTCGACGGGGAACCCGGGACTAGAGCTGGAGGTATCCCAGGTTTGCTTGAGGGCGTACCACATGTCTCGGTAGACGAGGACGGATTGCCAGGTGCCCCAGACGAGACGACAGCTGAAGAACATGAAGAGAAGCATCATGCCATTGTACCATTGGAGGTTGCTGCCGGTCATGTTGAGCTTGTCCAAGAACCAGTGGATATTGAGGAAGGGGCTGGAGAGCTCGTAGAGAATGAACACGGGCGAGTAGAAGTTGACAAACGGTCTCTAGAGTGGTAGATCGGGAAGTTAGCGCCGAGTGCTTCGCTATTGGGGAGACGTGGAACGTACGTATCCAAAGCTGAAAACCCACAAGGCACTGACAGCATGGAAGAGCATGCCGATTCCAAACATCCGGACGTAGATCAAGCTAATGATCAAGTCGTAGACAAAGTATCCCGCCGCGAAAGCTTGCACCATGGCACACACCCCTGTGTATCCATAGATGCGTTCACCGGTGTTCATCGACTTCCGCTCCTCGTCAGAAAACATAGCCCAGAGGGCCAGTGCATTGATGAAGGTGCTCTGCACCAACGACACAACATGCACATCCCAGTTCAGCTTCGTCCGTCGGTTGAGCTTGGGATAGTGTCGCGGAAAGAGGATCGGAGAGAGCAACGGAGAAAGGACGAAATGAATGAGCCCGTATGCCACGAAGGAGAACAGGACCTCGTGAATATGATCCGATAAGGCGGGGACGTTATAATAGATCGCCCAGGGGTCGACAGCGTCTCGCAGCCATCCCGGAGGAGGCGGCAATGGGTCCAACATGCCGACCGCTCTTCCGACGGGGAGGTTCGAGAAGGAGGTACGGTACTCCTAGTAGTAGATAGCTAACCCAGGGGCAAAGCTAGGATAGCGATGCCTCCAGGAAAGGGAGGAAGGAGAGGAAGGTCCAGAAAAGTCGGGTGGAGACTTAGACGGACTCAAGGCCAGCCATAGTGGAGCAGGGGGGAGGAGGAGTTAAGAAGAAGCGAGGAGAGTTCCGAGTGAGGGAAAGAGGGAGGGAGACAAGGCAAGGCCGCCTGAATAATGAAGCGCCGAGGCTTGCTCGCGTGCCGGCTGATGCCTGATTCGTGGGGCTGCGACAGTTGGGGTTCCGTTGGGGAGGCTGATCCGGCACGTGATCCTCCCCGGGATCATCTGACCCGCCGGGGGTTCCTGACGTCCTCAGGCTACAATATCAGGTGGAATGGAAGGATGGAAGACTATCATTATTCATGCAATTCACTGGGACTCTGTACATAGGAAATTGAACCGTAAAATTAAGTTGCAAACAAAGGAAATCACAAAAGAAAATGAACTGCAACGCCCACATAACTCGGGTGCCCGGCTCAAAAAAAAAGAATAAAACATATCAACATGCTAGAAAGGAACAGAAGTGGTATAAAAATATCACAGGGAAGAATTGACGTCAGATTGCTGCTGCACACGATCGTCTCGGGTCGTAAACGTGACGGAGGGTATCATTTCGGTGTTTATCCCACGGCACTCGTGATCTCTGGGCCGAGTCCGCTGTCGCTGTGCTGGCCGTAGAGTACCATCTTGGATGCCTCAGCGTCCAAGTCTTCCACATCGCGGTCATGCGAGGGCTCGTCTCCCTTGGTCGTCTGAGCATCGTCATCCTCCTCCTCCTCCTCCTCCTCCTCCTCCTCTTCTGCACCCGGCTCCTCGTTCTCATCTTTTTCCTTATGCCGTTCCGCTCCAGCTCCCCCGGGGGTAGAGCTAGCGGTACTCACTCGTCGATCAGTGGAGACAACGCTGCCGGTTCCATACACCATGCTGTCCGTGTAGGTTCCGGTGTAGCTGGTCCTTCGCTCCGTACCTGTGTCGCTTTCATCACCGCTCTGGTTTTCTTCCTCCTCCGGGAAAACTTCGTTCTCCTTGTTTGCTACCGAGCTCCGGCCGCCCCATGACGCTTTGCGCTGTGAGAAGTTGGACTTGACAGAGTGGCTTCGCTTAAGGCTAGCAAAGCCGCTGTTGCCGCTGGCTTGACGGTCTGAAACACCCCGGTTACCCGTTACGTGACTCAGACTCAGAATCCGCCTTTCTTTGCTGGCGTTAGACGGGGCCACAGAGCTACCCTGTGAAGGAGTTTGCCCTCGTTTCTTCAGGGCTAACCCAACGCTGCTGCCGAGAATACTGCGGTTGTCTTTGGCGGTGCTGGCATTGCTAGCGGCACTAGGTCCTCGCGCCCGAGAACCGCGAGCCTTCTTCATGTTCAAGCCCGGGATGTTGTTGGGGCGGCTGAGCAGCACACTGCGGGCATGATCGAGAACACCTTCCAGAATGCGCTTCTCCAAACTGTCTGCACGGTCTTCCATGACCTGCATTTCTTCTTGACGAAGCTCAAGTGCCATCTCCAGACCAGAAACCTCCTTGTTCAGCTTGGTGTTCTGCTTGACAAGGTCCTCCTTTTCGGATTTCAGGTTGCTGATCATCTTCAATAGCGACTCCTTCTCTTCATTGAGAGTAACGATCTCAGCTTCGACTTGGTCTCGCTGGGCGTTCCGCCGTTCAAGCGCAACCGCAGCTTCCTCGGCCTCCTTGCGTCTCCGTTCGGTGTCTTCAGCGACCATCGCCGACTGGGCCGTGAACATCTCGTTCATCTTGCGAGATGTCTCCATGATGTCTTTGTGCATTTCGTCCAATTTCATCATCTGCGTGACCGACTGCTCAGTGTTGGTAGCGTGTCCGATGAGGGTATCGAGTTTGTCATGTACGGGCCCATTGGTGCCCGTAGTGTGACTGAGCAGCTCATTGAGTTTGTCGTACATCTCGCTATTGGTACTTGTAGTCTGGCTTAGGAGCTGGTCGAGTTTCTCATGCACTTGATCATTTGTGACACGCTCGACGAGAACGTTGAGCGCTTCGTGCACCTTCTCATTCTTGGCATGGTTGAGGATGCTGTTCAACTTCTCATGTACTTGGCTGTCGTCGTATTTTTCCGGTTCAGGCGGCGGTAGCGCGGGAAGGAGCTGCGGGATCGTGGAAGGCAGAGTGGAGAGGTCCATTTTGAGGTCTTCAGCAGACTTCTGAGAGTGGTCGTAATGCTGACCAACAATGGAAAGAATCTCTTGAATGGACTCCAAGACCTGGGGGTGGAACTCATGCAACTTGCTTTCTACACGGTCAGTCGCGGCAGCGGCTCTCTCAATGTCGGACCGAGCTTGCTCCTGCCGTGACTTGACCTCATTTTGCATTTCCTCCATCTTGCTGTACGACGTATCGACTTTCTCGAAGAAGGTTTTGGTATCGACACTCATGCGCTCGCAGGCCTCGTTGACAGTGTTGCCCATCGAGCCGATGACGAGCTTGATATCTTCTGCCAGCGCTTTGGTGCTAGTGGCCACTTCGAGGCTGGCTTCGTCGCGTTGAGCAGAGTCCGAGAACTTCGTGTCCATGGCACTTTGAGCTTCGTCGTACTTGCCGATAACTTCGCCAAGCTTCTCATCGATCTTGGTACCCAGTTCGACAATGATAGCAGCCCTAGTCTCGTCGTGTTTCACCACAGCTGCAGCGTCGCGTTCTTCCTTCTCCAGCTTTTCCGCGTCCTGTTCGCCGCGCGCGCGCTCGAACTCCCGATTGATTAGTTCCGTGAGTTCGTTGACATTTTCAACCGTCGTGAAGCTTTCTGCAGAGGCTGCCAGCCCCTCCAGGAGTTGTTTCAGCTCCGAAAGACCTTCGTTGCTGCCATCGAGCTTGGTCTTCAATTCGTCTCCCAGACCCTCAACGACCGCCCGAGCCTCGTCAACCTTCTCAGCCAGACCAGCGTGCTCCACCTTCCGTGCTTCAAAGCCTTGGGCCGTCATTTCGTTCTCGGCTTCCGTCTTTTCCCTGAATTCAGCAACAAGGGCAGAGAGGTCTTGGAAATCGGTCTTAGTCGGTAGAGTCTCGACATCAGGAAGCTTAAGCTCGTCCACCTGTGTCTTGACTTCAAAGATCATCGCTTCGACCGTCTGCAGGTCGGCCTTGACCAACTTTTCACTGTCGGTTTCCTCCTCAGTCCCCTTACCCTTCAATTCGTCGAGGGCAATCCACATATCCTTCATCAGGGTCTCGAGGGTTCCGATCTCAGCCTTTGTTGGGCCTTCGGCTTCCAACCGAGTACCCATCTCAGAGATAGCCTCCTTGGTTTCCCTGACCATGGCCTCCAAGCTTCCGAGCTGCTCGGCCCGTGCTATTTCATCCGGGGCAGGGAACGTCATTTCGTCAAGTTGAGACTTTGTGTTGCGGAGCAAGGTCTCAATAGCATCCGTGTCCTCCTTCTTGGCTGTCGTCTCGTCTGCAGGGCTGTCGCGAGCTACAATTCCTGAGATGGAACCTTGAAGCTCGTGGAGGCCTGCCAGAACATCATCGAGGTGCTCCTTCTTCAGAGCATCTGCAGATGGCTCAGCCGCCCGCGGGGTTGACTCGATAGCCTCGACTTTGACTTGAAGCTGGGAAATCAGTTCCTTAAGCCCCTCAATGTCGGCGCTTGTGTTCGGTTCGTTGGCAAGCATCAGCTCCCCTCCCCTTGTTGTCTCGTTCTCTTCGGAACCCTTCGGTGACTCGCGCAGAGTTTCGACGTCTGCCTTCAAACTGCTGAGGCCTTCTTTTAAGGTTTCGAGGAGCTCTAAATGGTCCGAGGCAGCTGGTCTTTCGATGAGTTTGGCCAAGTCTTCCCGAATGTTACCGACTCCATCTTGGAAAATGTCAACAAGCTCGTTTGTGGAAAAGACGTTTTCGCCGCCTTCTTTAGGGGCCTCTCTTTCAGTGTGTAAAGTTTCAAGGCTTTGACGAAGCGCGGCAATGATATCGTCCTTGTCGGATTTCGGCTCCTCTGCAGGGACAAGACTCATGTTCATCGATTGACGGAGACTTTCGAATTCCTGCTTGATAAGTCCGGCAATATCTTCGGTGCTGTCACTTTTCTCGGTGCTCTCAGTCTTCTGGCTTTCAGAAATATCGCGGATGGCGTCAAGGATTTCGTCTTTCTCGGCGGATACGTTGCTTCGGATAAGCATATTGCTAAGACTGGTTCGCAGATGTTCGAATTCCTTTTCCAACGCATCAAGAAGCTCCGGGGTGTCAGGGTTGCCACCAGAGCTATGGGAGAGAGCGGTTTCTGTAATGGTCTTCTCCATGTCGGCCTGCAGTAATCGAAAGCCTTCTTTCACCGTATCCATGATCTCATGTTTCCCCGCCGCTTCTGAAGCGGCAGCGGCATAAGACTCAACTTCCTGACGCACGACAGCGATTCCATCTTTGATTGCGTCCAGAACCTGGGAATTGTCCTGCTCATTAGACATCGAACGTTGCTGTGTCTCTTCTTTCATTGCCTCCAGCTGCTCCTGAAGGCGTCCGAGCATTTCGTCGCCGAGAGTATTACTGGTAGAGGCATGTGCTTCTTGAAGTCCAGCCGAGATGGCTTCCATGAGATCGTCCTTGTTCAGCTCGATTTCTCTGATCATAGAGTTCTGGTTCTCCATGCCTTCTGCAATGGCATTCAGGATATCTTCGCGCGAGATAGAATCCTGGGCGTTGGTGCTGACTGCAGATTGTTGGGCGGCAAATGCGTCGTTGACCACATTGCTTACATCTTCCTTTGTGATGTGAGGAGTCTCCATTTCTTTTGCCGCCGTAAAGTGTGCTTCAATTCCATCGGACACCGCGCTGAGGATCTCATCCCTGCCTAGGCCGGAGTCGAGCGTTTCCCTGGTGAGCGTACTTTGTGTGGTAACTGATTCGGTGACTGCCTGCAGTATTTCATCCCGAAAAGTTTGCAGATGCTCAGGTTCGACAGAGCGGGGTGCGGGCTGGTTGCTTTCGAAGCATTCGCGAATCGTTTGCGCGATTTCGTCCTGGGTGATGCTGGGTGTTATCGATTCGGTCACTGCGTGCAGTATCTCATCCCGAATAGCATGCAGATGCTCAGGCTCGACAGACCGAGGAGCGGGCTGGCCGTTTTCGAAGCATTCCCGAATCGTTTGTGCGATTTCATCCTTCGTGATACTGGGAGGGGGTGTAAAGTCCTGCATTCCCGCTTGTACGGCTGCCAGAACTTGGTCGTACGTGACTGCGTGCTCGTCCTTCGGCTGATATTCCTTCAGGCCTTCTGCAAGGCATTCCAGGATTTCGTCACGCTCCAGTCCGAAATTTTGTAATTCGATCTCGGGCTTGTAAGTTTCCCAACACTCTCGGATCGTCTCGAGAATGTCGTCCTTCTGCATGTCGTTTCCTTGGGGCGCATTCCGCAGCTGTGACCAATCGAGGTCCTCGACCGCGCCTTTGATAATCGAGTAGATTGCCGAACTGTCCATCGCAGCGCGGAATTCTGATAGAGCAGAGGAGTGACGCTGGTTCTCGGCGAGTATAGATGCGAGCTGCTCCTTTAGGTCGTTAAGGCAATCGTCAACTATCGCGGCGATTTCCTCCTGTCCAGGAGGGCTGTTCGGCCCGCCTTCCAGAGCTCGGGGCCCTTGGGCCTCTTCAAATTGGCGGGCGAGATTTCTGCCCATTCCCAGAACCTCTCCGCGGAGTTCTCGCACCAGGGCTTTCACTTCATTGGTGAGACCTCCTCCCTCAATGACGCTGCTTCTCACTCTTTTCATGATAGCCAGCATGTCTTCCTGGTTTTCGGTGGGTATCAAAGAACGACCTCTAAAATTGGATCCTTCCATGTTGTCCATGTCGGGTACAAAGCCCTGCTCCGCATCGAAAGATCTCGACTGGGTGCCGGTGAAGTCAGAGTGCGAGCGTGGCGGCATCTGACTGTCATCGAAATTGAGTCGGGTTGGTACCAGTGCCTTATGTCCCGCATCCTCTTTCACAACGTTAAGGATTTCTTCGAGCATCTCCATGACATGGCTGTCAACATGACCACCAGACGCCTCAGCCCCAGATTCCTCGGATGGGGGTCTGGCTTTCAGTTCCTCCGCCAGCTCCACGAGCTTATCCTGACCTTCTTTCGTGGCCATTTCTCGTAGGACTTTCTCCAGTAGAGCAATGCTGGCAGAGCCGTCAGAAATCGGTGCCGGGGAGCCACACATCTCACGCTCCATTGCTGTAGCGAAAGGGTTAGGGCTTTGCATGCGGGGGGCTGAGAAACTTTTCTTCGAGTTCGGAGAACTATCCGGGTCCCTGTTGTTAATATCTTTATCAGATCCCAGGAGAGTGCTGAAATCCCACCTTATGGCAGCATCACTATCTAGAAACTTTTCAGACAAGCTGGAGGATAGATCGCGAAGACTCTTTCGAATGTCTTCGTCTCGGGCGTTCGTTGCGGCTTTGAGGCTGACCAGGTCTGTGGCGTTATCTTTGCTTCGACGGCTCAGCTGCGCCATCTCCCGTTGCAGATTACTCGCGATATCCGTGAGACTAAGAATCTGGGTCGATAGAGAGTTGAGACTAGAGGGGTTGGAGTCACTGGCCACCACAAACGGGTCGGAGTCATCGCTCTTGACAGGCGGGTGCACGTCTCTTTCACTCGGCAACTGCATATTCTGCAAGGCCAGCATAGTCGCCGAAGGAGGAGTGCTTTCGCCGAGAATAGGCTTCGAGAGGTAGTGGTTCGAGATGAGGAGATTGGGGAGATCGCGATCCGAGTCTTGGTTCTCCTGATCCTCGCTAGACTTCGTCGGGCTCTTTTCCTGTGGCTTGGCATTTGGATCTAGTGTCGACGCTTTCAGCGGCCTTTCTGGGGATCTGCTTTCGAGATAATTCAAAAACTCGGACCGAGGGTCATTGTTCTGGAACGACTGCATTCGCTTGTGGAATTGGCCCTTGATCAAGGACTTCTCGGGCGACGATGGCTTCGGCATCGGATTGGTTGTGTACGGGCTGGGTGCGTTTTCGCGCATCTTCTCCGCGAAGTTAGCCGCCACGGCTTGGATGCCCGGGGAGACATTGCCCTTCGTGGCAGGACTGGTGGAACCGGGATTCATTGGCAATGGCGGAGGCGCCCGTTCAGGGTCTGAACTGTCCCACCTTCGTTTCCACGGTTTGAAAGTCAGTCTAAAATAATCCATCGTTGAAAGGTTGAACAGAGAAACATGAAGAAGAAGAGAAAACCCTCGTGGTGGGAGGCGACAGTCGACACCTACATGGGCACTGATTGGCGTCTTAGAACAAGCTCCCGATCTTGGGAACCTTCGCGCGTATGCGATGGCATATTAAGACCTAGTCTTAGGGTGGAGGTACTGTCGTCAATCTTTCAAGAGACGAAATGGGTTGTGTTGTTGGAATGTGCGTCGGAATGTTCGTCAATTAAAGTCGTAAAGGCATATCAATTCATCAAAACAAAAACAGAGAAAACAACGACCAGAGCTGTAGATTTAGTCGGGGGGATGGCGCAAGGGTAGTAAACAAAACACAGAGAAATAAAAATGACGTGAAAACCGTAAAGAAGCAGAAAAAAAGGACAGAACTATACGCTTGCTAGCAAAAGATGGATGCCGGGCAAGGGCAACCAAGGGCTCACAACAATGCGACGGAGATGGGGCAAGGCAGGCAGGAAGGAAGGAGGAAAAGGCGGTTGAACTCCGGAGTAGATTATCATTCAAATAAGTAGCACGGACAGATCAAGAAAACATCAGAGTGGAGATCCACGCCGCAAGGCACGGTAGCTCATGGGGCGTCAATTGCAACCCGGCCCAATCTCCGACGTACACATCAAGGCAACTCTCATAGCAACCGACGCTGCGTTGGTTGTCCGGTAAACAGACATCACCTGGGCGGTGAGTGTCTCTGCCCGGGGTCGCGTTTCTCCGCCATCTCGGGCGCTAGGCTGTATGGGGGAACTCTCCCCTTTGGGTATGGTCACTACCCGCCGCTGGACAGTCGGTAAGTCGACCAATGAGAGCGGGGCACACAAAGCCGCTTGCCCTGATCCCGTGTCGTTGTGCACTCGAAAGCGAAAAAAAGAACTGAACCTTCTCCTCGACCGAAGCACATCGACAACCACCCCATCGACCTGCCGCTCCCCGGGACTTTCACAATGAAGTGTTAGTTGTTCGCCGCTACATCTCGATTCTACGGAATTTTTTTCTCTTGCGATTTGATACTGACGGAATGTTGTTATAGTCATGAAAGTGGGCCGTGTGGCCATCATCACCCGTGGCCGTTACGCCGGTAAGAAGGTACGACTCACAAGAGAACCCGCTTGATTTTATCCCCGGCGAGATAGAAAGAATGGAGGGAAAGCGATTACAACCGATCGAGAAAGAAACGAATTCGAGAATGAGCGATTATCGATATCAACCGCAAGACCAGAAACAGGTGGAAGGAGCCTGGGAGGAAGAATACAAGATGCAGAATGCGGATGGACTCAAGAATAGGTGGAACGTGTGCTGACCAGGGTCTTCTCGGAATCTACAGGTTGTGATCATCAACCCCAACGACACCGGCTCCAAGGCGCACCCCTTCGCCTACGCCATCGTTGCCGGTATCGAGCGTTACCCTCTCAAGGTCACCCGCCGCATGGGGAAGAAGACCGTTGAGAAGCGCAGCAAGGTCAAGCCTTTCATCAAGGTCGTCAACTACAACCACCTGATGCCCACCCGTTACACTCTCGAGCTTGAGGGTCTCAAGGGTGCCGTCTCTGCCGACACCTTCAAGGAAGTCTCGCAGCGTGAGGACGCCAAGAAGACCGTCAAGAAGGCTCTTGAGGACCGCTACACCAGCGGCAAGAACCGCTGGTTCTTCACTCCTCTTCGTACGTACCCGTTCCGGGCGTTAATCGATCGCGGACTTCAGGGCTAACTTTTTCGCAGGTTTCTAAACGGGGTAATTTTGGGCGTTATGTCGTTTTGAGCGCGCAAGGTCTTAGATGCGGCAAAGGGAATAAAAAGGCATCGAGCACTTCGGTTCAGGAGCATGGGATGACCGGAAAACGTATACCATCGCTGGAGGAAGGATTGGGGATGTATCGATGTACAAGTCCAGGACTTGGGCCATTTTTCTTTTTTTAATGAAGGAGGCCACTCAGAACTGGCAACCTCGAAATGAAATGGAAATATGAACAAATTCAAAATCTTTCTTTGTGTCTTCTAACCACTCGCCGTCACGTTGCCCGTCTGGGCTCACATCATTGCCGCGTCGATGGCTGCCAGCGCAGTGCCACATCCTCGATCCCAACTACACTCATTTCAACTTAATCGGAGCGCGAGTCATTCAAGCCCACGTTTCGTCCAGTCGCATGGAGTGGGATGGTCTCGAATGGCGCCTGGACTGCACTGGTCCCAGAGGCACGTCTCTTGGCGCTACCGTCCCCGCATCACGCAGTTTCCCATCTCCGCATCCAACGCCCATCTCGGAAGCATGAAACAGGATAGCCGAATGGCAGGGAGGGGTACAGGCGGACTCTCAGTCATGGCCTTTTATGGCCCTCGTACTCGCCAACGTCAACGGCGCTTCCAGCCATCACGGACCGGCCTATGGCTTATGCATGCGAAATGGGCGTAGACGGCACGGAGCGGCTCGCCTTCAACAAGATTCAGTTGTAGAACCAGCCCTGGAACGGCGTCGTATTCGTCGGCCTTTGACGTACATGAGCTACTGCGACTGCTGCATTGCCAGTCTTTGTCAGTCTTTCCCCCTAGAAACCCCCTCCGTCCGCCGAATCAGATCATGTATTTCCGCCCCTGTTGGTTCCAGGCATATAAAGATCGTCGCCATGTCGGCGTTTGTATGTACGAGTGGGTGGCATAATGATTTGGATTGGGTTTATGCTCGCATTGGATGCAGTTGCTCGCGAGGCTCCTTCCTCGGTGGAACGAAAGTGCATATCCATGTCGCAATATATGTTCCACATGTATCCGGAGCTCCGGACCACTTGTACAGCTCATCCATTACACAACCGGGTTAAAACAGGCGTTAGCAGAAATTAGTGTGCATATTGTGATACCGTTTAGATAACTAATCATGGATGCGATTCAGGGATTTTCTCGACAGCGGGATTGCGAATGGGCAAATAACTGTGGATACCGAAAGCACATCAGACTGAACAAGGAGCGGCTCGACGAGAAGAAATAGACAGAACGCCGACAAAAGTACGAGGCACGCAGGAGAGCCTCTGGGGTTCTGGAAGAGGAATCTGCCCTCTTCATGGGAATAGTAACCCGAGGGGAAGAAGAGGGGAAAACGCTCAGGCCAAAGAAAAAAAGGCTCAACGCGAGCTGCAGGCGAAGGATCTACCGGGGGGGAACCGTCGAACCTGTCGAGTGTCAAAGAGTCAAGACGCCACCGGACGAGGTCCAGGCTTCTTTGTTGAATTTAGTGTCTCCTATCTAGTCCGAGTTTCATAGCTGGAGAGCGACAGGGAAGGGGAGAGTCCGCCGGTCCCAGTTGGCGCCCAGCGATAAGAACGAATTGACCCAAGCGGAGGAGGGACCTTGAGGTTGCAGTCCCGTTGATTGGGATTGTACGGTAGCAACGAGGAATTACCCGTTTAGGACTGGATTTTTTATTTATTTAGAGAAAGTAAAAAGAGATGGTGAAAGTAGACAGACAACTGAATATACAATGTAGGCAAAAATCAAACTAAAAATTAAATTAAATTAAATCCGTTAAAAAAAAGAACACCGAAAATGACAGGCGGTTTGGAGACCCGCAATCACATGCCATCAGCCCACCATTCGTTGCGATTCCGAAATCATCTTTCTCTAATTCATACTTCAGCCTCCTTCGCCACTGGCAACGCCGTCCAGCCTCGTACTGATCGGACCTGGTGCGATGCTAGCGTCGACTTATACTCAGATGAACCTCAGATCTGATCACCAAGAAAAATGAAAATATCCATTTTTACAATAAAAAAAAATTTAATAATAATAAAAAGAGCAGCCAAAGCATCAAACAACTCGGTGATACTTATCTGCTCGGGAAGTGATTCCCAAACGACCAGGCCCCGGCGTGGCCGAATCATTGGGCAGGGAGACAAGGAGGACCGAACGCAACGTCCCCTCCAGCTTCGCTAGATGCAGATTTTCGGGGACGAATGGGACGAATGGGACGAATTGCCGTCGGTTCTTGGGTCGACTATCTCTCTGGCCGGAGTTCCAGGCCCCCGATGAGATGATAATGATGATTATGATATGATATGATCCCGCTAGTAGCCCTGGTAGCTCTGGGAGCACTCGTAGTACTGGAGGATACCTCTGCGATGCAGGCAGACGGCCCGCTATCACATGCGTGCCAACGCTGGCGTCAGAAACGCAGTGGCTCTCCAGAAGCACCGTTGGCTGCATCTTATTTATCGGAACATCCCTGTCTGCCTTCTTCTGTTCTTCTTCCCTCTTCTTTCCCCCTTTTTTGTCTCGCGACTCGTTGCTTTTATCGCTACTATATTAATATCTCACATGTCTGCTGCTCTCACCATCGTCCACAGCGAACTTTTTTTTTTTCTAACTTCTCCTCGAGCTTGAACTTTAGTTGCTTCTGATCAAACATCCCCCTCATGTAGGTCTTTCTTTTCTTCTTCTTTTTCTTCTTCTTCTCCCCCCTCCATCTATACCTTCTCGATCCAATTCATTCGGCCCAATCTAACGTACTTTCCTTAGAACCACATGCCGCACGCTAAACAAGACGAAATGGGCGACACTTCGGTTAACGGCGAACAGCCTCACTCTTACTTCTTCGACGTAAGCTCCGCTGGACATCCTTCCGAACCCTGGTGTAACGGCTGACATTTCCTTCTACGTAGCACCTGGCGTCGTACCCTGTGGTTTCCGACTCAATCATCGTGCTCAAGAGCAACAAGATCGGCGCAAAGTACCTGGAAATTGCCGATCAAGGATACATCCGTCTCGCCAAACCGCTCCTTCCTTACCTATCCAAACCCTACGGTTTTGTCGCTCCCTACGTTGCTCGTGTCGACTCGCTCGGTGACAAGAGTTTGACCAAGATTGACTCGACGTTCCCCTTCATCACGCAGGACACGGAGACCCTCAAGACGACGATCCAGGATGGCGCATATTACCCGGTGCGCTTGGCCAGCGATGTGAAGGTACATCTCTTCGACCTGTACGGCTCCGAGTACAAGAAATGTGGCGGTGATGGACCTCTGGCGAGCGGCAAGGCCCTGATCACCACCGGTCTGGTGTTGAGCCAGGAGTCGCTGGACTACCTAAGCTCTCTGCTACAGAAGAAAAAGGCGCAGGTCAAGGATGCCGTCAATGACCAGACTGATGGCTAGACGCCCGTCAGTCATTCGGGCGCAGCCTCAAATTTCCAGGGCGGGTAGTATTGTGGGTGCTGTGTTTTTGTCTCTAGAAAGTTATGGTTCTGGCCGGCCCTTCTCCTTTGATCGTTCACTTTTTTTTCCTTATCATTTTTTCAAGCCATGAGAAAGCAGGGGTGTTTTGATTTTCACAAGCTTATTGGCGTTCCAAGGTAGCTCTCTGTTCGGAATTCTCAATTGATGATTTGCCAGGCATTATCCCGGGTGTGTAAGGTAGCAGTAATGATCCCAAGTTGCTTAATTCTTACTTGCTTCAGGCCCTCCCTGAACGCTGTCAATTGACATGTGAGTTGTTTCACTCCTGCAGGGGTCACCCAAGCCAAGCAGAAGAAACCTGGAAATGATATCTTTTTGATTAAATTCCGCCCCCGTCGACTGATGCCTGCAGATTTGACATGTGATTCTGCCCTTGGCAAAACATGTGATTTCCCAATCTGGCTAAATCACGTTGGGCCAGTCCACTTTTGACCGGCGCGTCAAGCGCGTCAATCAATTCATTTTGAGATAGATCGGTCTTCTGTCTTTTAACGTCGATTAAACTATCCTTGCGGCTATCGTCATCGACCCTATAGATTCAACACGCTGCTCTAATATATTCTCTCATCCTCCTTCAAATATCCCAAGATGCCTCTTATTCGCAAACGTCGAGCAGTACGTCCCTCCCACCTCTCCCCGACAAGACCACAAAGAAATGTCACTAACTCTGATCGCCGACTCAGGAACCAGAGCCTGCCAGCGAAGACTCTAGCTCCGCCGAACCAGATACCCAGGTCTCGACCGCAAATGCTCGCCGTCGCAGGCGCACAGAGATTGCCTCGCCCGAGAGCGACGACGAGGAGGATGAAGACGACGCGTGTGCGCCGAGCAGCACGGACGTGATGGTCAAGAAATTGGTGCGCTTAGCGCTGGCAAGCGAATACTCTCGACTACCGATCCGAAGAACGGACATTAGCGCCAAGGTCCTGGGGGAGCAGGGATCGAGACAGTTCAAGACGGTGTTCAATGAGGCACAGGAGGCTCTACGGACGACGTTCGGGATGCAGTTGACCGAGCTGCCGGGGAAGGAGAAGGTGTCCATTCAACAGCGACGAGGTGCGCACTCTTCCTGCTTTCCCGCGTTTTGATTTAATCAAGTGATTATGCGCCGTCGTTTTTATTGACTCCTTCAATCCAGCGGCCCAAAAAGTCGAACGTCCCTCGTCGACAAACAAGTCCTGGATCCTGACTAGTACGCTCCCTGCCGCTTATCGGAAGCCGGAAGTCTTGCCCCCCACCAAAGCGCCTATGGAGGGTATCTACACCGGAATATATTCTTTCATTATCTCCCTGGTTCTACTCAATGGGGGCTCTCTCCCCGAGCAGAAGCTCGACCGGTACCTGAGACGGACGAATGCCGAGACGTACACGCCCATCGACCGCACAGACCGGCTTTTGCAGCGCCTCTGCAAAGAAGGTTATCTCCTGCGAGTTCGCGAGATGGACGGCGGCGAAGAAGTGATTGAGTACATGGTCGGCCCGCGGGGCAAGATGGAGGTTGGGGTGCAGGGCGCGGCCGGTCTGGTGCGCCAGGTGTATGGTCGCCCGGATCCTGAAGAGGAGGACATAACTCCCGCCGAAAGGGCACGGACGGAGGAGTTCGAGCTCCGATTAGCAAGGAGTCTTGGGCTCCGGCAACCTTCGCGGCGAGTGGACGAAGACCGGGCTGACGAGGCAAACACGCCGCAACGGGGACAAACGCAACGACAGTCTCAGCGACAGGCGGCGGAATCCGAAGAGGAGGAAGATAGTGATTGATCTGCTGGCCGATATGTTGTATTTAGACGTGTTTTATTGATACCCTTGTTAACTAGCATTTATTGTGTCTTGGATGACCGATGAAGATTGCTGTATAAACTACACACTATCTCCTACTAGAAACCAGAGGTAAGTTAGTGCCTACTTTAGCAAAACTTTGTAAGTTCAGAACATGGTGGGTCTAGAGTATTTAGGTAGGCTATGTTTAGACAGCGGTCAGTAAAAGCTATACATAAACACAACATAAAGTTGGTTTTCTAACTCTTGGGGCTAACGAGTGTGAGTTTTTATGTATTGAGATGTTTTCATACTAAGCAATATGCCTAGGGCATGCCTTGACTTTCTCGTGAACACTGGCGAAATATATATCTTTACGCTGGAATAAGACCCGGAGATATATGTTTACTATTCAATTAACGTGATTGACCGGATTTCCCTACATGATTTCAACGCAAAATAAATAATGTGACGCAGCAATCTCAAGAATATATAGCCAAGGATGTATTGCCTATGCTACAGTACATACAGCCAGGAACTCGCACCTGATATCAACATAATATCAACGCCCGAAATATGATTCAACCAATCCATTGAATGTTATGTATAGCGAAAGAGAAAGGAAAGAAAAATGGCCATTCATCACGGTCGTATATCTATGGGTGGAGAGGACAAGGAAGTAGACGGACGGAAAGAAGAACAAGAAGACGTGACACGAGATGACTGACATCAACGGTCTCCGTATTCTTTTTGTTTACTCGCTGTCACTGGCACTGCCATGAGCAGAGCCGTTGTCCGTGCCTTCTCTCAGACCCTCGGCGAGGACGTATTCAGCCCGCTGTAGGGCCGACTTGATCTCCTGGTTGTTGTACACAAGGTCGGCGGGCTTCTGTCCGTGCTTGTTTCGGACCCGCGGGTCGCATCCGGCTTCGCACATCATATTGATCATTTCCAGGCCTAGTTCGGAGTCCTTCTCGTTGGCGAAGCGCACGGCGACGTGGAGAGGGGTGTCTTTATCGAGGCGAGTGAGAGGGTCACATTCGAAATATTGGATGTCGAAGAGAGAATCCATGGTGTCGTCTGCGATAACGGCCAGTTAGCTCCGGGTCCCTTCGCCGATCGATTCCGCCAAGTAGGCGTAAAATAATTGTGATACTTGGAACTTGCAAGACTTACAGCTTCCGTATGTCGCACAGATGTGCAGGGCGTGGTTCCCTAACGGGTCCGTCACGCCGTTGAAGAACCCCGCCACTTGTTCGTTTGATTTCCCCTCCAAGCCGTCGAGGACTTGTTCGATCAGATGGGGCTGGTCCCGCCGACACGCTTCCACCACCAGCTCACGAGGAGAGGCACCCTAACCGATCAATTCCGGGTTCCGGAGCCAAACAACGGAGTAGAGCAAGACTTACATCGTCCGCCATGGTTGCTGTTTAAACAAAGAGAGTCGCTAGAGGAGCAAGGATCGAGATCGCTCTGAAATCGACGCTAGAAGCTGAATAGATGCAAGATAGTATCAAACAGTTATCGGAATGTATGGGTCTGGTTCGGGTCGAAGAGGTAGTTGGTGGTCAGGAGACGGTGTGTGTTATGGCGGGAATACCGGAAACCACGGGCTATTGAAATAGGAGGTAAGTAAACGTAGGCCTGAATGATAACAGAGGACAAGCGCCCATGATCGAAAACCCGGTAACCGCGTATACGTACCAGCCTGTCAAAAGGGGGGGGAGATTAGCAGCTCGTCGTTGGTCTGACCTCCCAGGGGTTCAATAACGGCTTTGCCTTCTACCTATTATTAGGAACGGGCAGTATCGACCCCCGCTGCCAGTCGGAGAACCGCACGGCTCCCGCTCGGAAGGTCAGTTGTCCCGTTCCGCCTCGCCTGCCCCGCGTCCAATGGTCGGAAGCCGCGCGGGAGGGCGGTAGGGCGGTAAAGGCGGTGAGGCCGATTTTCTCTCCGCCAACTGCGTGTGGCGTCTTTGATAAGGGCAGGAATGAGAGACGCATGCACCCTTGCTGCACGACAGTAGAAGCAAGCACAGATGGTCTTCCCGTCACTTCATGCGAGTGATGTGTGATATATGAACTGTTGCTATTCCATACCTGACTAACAAGCTTTGTTGCGCTCTGCTATTGACGGACTGTACTATCCAGTTACTACAACCTTTTCAAGCAGAAGCAGAAATAAAAAATGCCTTTGACTTGTGAGTCTTTGCGGAAAACACCCAATCCATACCCTTCGCTTCAACATGGAACCGCTAACGCAGATTGATCGATTGGATAGTCTGTCCCAACTGCAGCAATGCGCTGACCATCTCGCGAGGGGAAGCGACGTCGAGACACCCTCTCGGAGCTAACCGATTCGAATGCCGCACCTGCCCTTATCAATACGTTCTCGAACAGAGCTGGTATGAGAAAACGCCCATGAAGCAGAAAGAAGTGGAGGATGTCTTCGGAGGCAAGGAGGAGTTTGCAAATGCAGATAGCATAGGCAGTAAGTTATCTGAGGTTCTCGACGTGTCTGGGAAGCATGGACTGACTCCTCCCTTACAGCGCAATGCCCCGCAGAAAACTGCAATGGCGACCGTGCATACTTTTTCCAGCTGCAGATTCGAAGTGCCGATGAACCTATGACTACATTCTTGAAGGTGGGTGCTTCCTACAGTCTAGCTCATGCGGGTAGGCTTTGCATTGACCGCATGTACTGATTGATTATTGCGAACAGTGTACGTCGTGCGGTGCCCGATGGAGAGAAAACTGAGACCCTCGTGTTTGGAAACTATACTGCGGCTCTATAACGGTGATTGAGGGACAACCATCAAGAGCCATGGTGGGAAAAAATAAATATACAAATTTCTGGATCGGAGGAGCTGCTCGTAAAGCGTGTCGGGTTTTGGGTGTGATTTACACGGAGCTTAGAGATACCCCTCAATTGTTATAATCAACATTATTATTATGATAAGTCTTATGCCTATTGCCTACTCCGTATAGTATCTAGATCCAGGTGGCTACGTAGTCCGTACGGAGTTACTAACTAGCTAGTAGAAAGTCAGATCAAGCGTCAGATTTTTTTCTGTTAGTGGCGGCAGATAATCATCAATTTTGGATTGGGTGAACAACCGTGGTAAGCGTGTGCGTCTGGACCGGAGAAAAACTTTTTTTTTTTTTTTTTTTTGCCTCCCGGATAGGTATGCGTATCATGGCGGGAAGAGCCAGGGAAAGAAAAGAAAAAGACACATCCCACCTTGCCAGAACCTGGATAGTAAGCGCCCATCCAGCCTTTTCTTTTGTTTTGTTATGTTTTATTTCTATTTTGTTTTCAGTTTTTAATATTTTTTCTCGCCCCTTTTATTTGGTGAGTCTTTTCTTTCGTGTTTCGCCTTTTTATCTGAGGATTATTATTATTATTATTATCTTATTGTTTACTACGGTGTACGTAGAAAAGTCAACTACGGAGCACGTTGACCTCATACCTCGAAAAAAAAAAAAAATCCCACATGTGGATCTAGCGGGCGCATGCCACCGCTGCTTTGGCAAAATTAATTTGACCGTCAACGGACAAATAAAAAAAGCTCGCAGCCGCGGGGTTCTGTTGCAAACAAGGCCAACATCCGTAGAATGCTCGAAACTAAACAGCCCACCTCTGCGTTGATGCCCAGTATTCCAGTCCAAAATCCACTCGGACGAAGGACCAGGCAAGAAAAATTTTTTCATTGAACTCCGTAAGGTGGCCGTAGTGGGGTAGGAGGTCGACGCACCGAGCGAGATGGACCCAAGGACCCAAGAAAAAAAAAAAGTAGGATCACCAGCGCAACAAAGGCAGAATCGCCCGACTCCGCCGTGAAGATTCTGCGCTGGTCCCGCAGTGCATGGTGGGGCATTACCCCTCCATGTCCAATGATAAGGGCCCCTCGCCAAGGGTTTGAGCCCGCCCGCTAACTTAGTCAGCAAACTGCTCGCTTGCCCCTCCATATAAGGATTTCCCCTCCTCCCCTCCCACAGACTTTTTCCTCTTCCCTCCCCGTCCGCTTCAGTACGTATATCATCCCCCTCCCAGCTTGGGTTTTCTCTCTCCTCCTTCTTTCTTCATTCATCCTCTTCTAACTTACCTCTTTGCTCAGTACCTCTACGCGACAAGCCGTAGTATCTGAGCAAGTTTCCAGAACTCTTCTAGTATCTTACAAAGAACTACAAAAGTTCAGCACAACCAGCCAAAATGGGGTAAGTTCCATCATCCCGACGAAGGCTCTGTCTATCGGACCAGTCGAGAAGATCATCAGACTAACGATTTCTTTTTTCTCTCAACAGTAAGGAGGACAAGACTCACATCAACATCGTCGTTATCGGCCACGTCGATTCCGGCAAGTCGACCACCACTGGTCACTTGATCTACAAGTGCGGTGGTATTGACCAGCGTACCATCGAGAAGTTCGAGAAGGTACGAAACACTTCACTCCTCTTTGGGGACTCACTTCAAGCCTTAGCGGGTGTCACCTCCACTTCACATCATGCATACTAACTGCTCTGCCTTATAGGAAGCCGCCGAGCTCGGAAAGGGTTCCTTCAAGTACGCTTGGGTTCTTGACAAGCTGAAGTCCGAGCGTGAGCGTGGTATCACCATTGACATTGCCCTCTGGAAGTTCCAGACCGCCAAGTATGAGGTCACTGTCATCGATGCCCCCGGTCACCGTGATTTCATCAAGAACATGATCACTGGTACCTCCCAGGCCGATTGCGCTATCCTCATCATTGCCTCCGGTACTGGTGAGTTCGAGGCTGGTATCTCCAAGGATGGCCAGACCCGTGAGCACGCTCTGCTTGCTTTCACCCTCGGTGTCAAGCAGCTCATCGTTGCCCTCAACAAGATGGACACCTGCAAGTGGGCTGAGGACCGTTACAACGAAATCGTGAAGGAGACCTCCAGCTTCATCAAGAAGGTCGGCTACAACCCCAAGGCCGTTCCCTTCGTCCCCATCTCCGGTTTCAACGGTGACAACATGCTCGAGCCCTCCCCCAACTGCCCCTGGTACAAGGGTTGGGAGAAGGAAGGCAAGTCCGGCAAGGTCGCCGGTAAGACCCTCCTTGAGGCTATCGACGCCATCGAGCCCCCCGTCCGTCCTTCCAACAAGCCCCTCCGTCTTCCCCTCCAGGATGTCTACAAGATCTCTGGTATTGGAACTGTGCCCGTTGGCCGTGTCGAGACCGGTGTTATCTCCCCCGGCATGGTCGTCACCTTCGCTCCTGCCAACGTCACCACTGAAGTCAAGTCCGTTGAGATGCACCACCAGCAGCTCAAGGAGGGTGTCCCCGGTGACAACGTTGGTTTCAACGTCAAGAACGTTTCCGTCAAGGAAGTCCGCCGTGGAAACGTCGCCTCCGACTCCAAGAACGACCCCGCCGCCGGCGCTGCCAACTTCACCGCCCAGGTCATCGTCCTTAACCACCCCGGTCAGGTCGGCGCTGGATACGCTCCCGTCCTTGATTGCCACACTGCCCACATTGCTTGCAAGTTCGCTGAGCTGCTTGAGAAGATTGACCGCCGTACCGGAAAGTCCGTCGAGTCCTCTCCCAAGTTCATCAAGTCTGGTGATGCTGCCATCGTCAAGATGATTCCCTCCAAGCCCATGTGTGTTGAGGCTTTCACTGAGTACCCCCCTCTCGGTCGTTTCGCCGTCCGTGACATGCGTCAGAGTAAGTTGACTATTCAGCCTCCCACCATAACATTTTTACTAATATATTCCTCTAGCCGTCGCTGTCGGTGTCATCAAGGCTGTCGAGAAGGCCACCGCCTCTTCCGGCAAGGTCACCAAGGCCGCCCAGAAGGCCGGCAAGAAATAAATTATTTACGAAAGTTGATAATAAAAGACCGGAATGGAATTAGATATGAGTATGTAGAACACCTGCATACACGAAATGAATTTCTGATTGCTTTCATGCAACTTCTTACTCTTGTCCTTCACTTGTAAACTTGTAAACCTTTCCTGCAGCTGAGTAGTAGAGTTCTCCATCCTATGTTCTTGAAATCCTTGGTGAAGTCCTATTTTAACAACCTTGGTGTTTCCTGATTCCGTGCGGGTTTCAGCCCACACTGTAAACTCATATTTCAGTGGCCATCGCACTCAACCCCAGAGCCCCTAGGTCCACCAAGGCCAACCTTCTCATATCCCATGGAAGAGCATAATCTCAAGAGGAAAGATATCTTGAGAAGGTCTATTCTCTATCCTGGCCTGCTGGAGGAGTTCAGGATACCCAAGTCTGTTACCCCGCCATCATTAATTCAACCAAGTAGAAGTCGTGGAATAACTTCGCAATATATCATGCCGGTGTCAAAAGATGAATCTGTCTTGGAAGTTTCTGAGATTTTGTCTAGAATTTCCATCAACGAAGCTAGTTGTCAGCAGATCTTGGTTGATATATATAGTTTCTCGGGTATTACCTCGGTAAGTAGCTGTCCATAATATCTGCTGCCCCTTTGTTTTAACATTGTAGGCAACGGGCCAGATACGAGACAGACAAACAGAAAGAAGCCATACGTAACTTAAAATATACGCTCAGCCAGAGGCAATTGCCGGTTTTCTACGTAACATCAAGATCAGTCGGTTCTCATGATGATGTCACTATGAACAGTATTCACTATACCCATGGTCTCTAGCCTGAGGCACGAATATAATATCCCCATTGCTCTTTTGGCCCCTAATTGTAAAAAAGGCGGCGATCGGGCCGCCAACGATTTTCTTTTTATTCTCAAGTTCCAACAGTCCTTGATTTCATTTGCACCGTGGATCTTGACGGGGGTATTCTAGAACAAACCTTGCCATCATGAGTCGGCCTCAGTTTTACGCGAATACCCTCGAGCCTGTCGATATCACCCCAGAGAAGCTACAGAAAACGCTCGAGGACTTACTTGTGGCCGTACGGCGGGGTGTTGATGTGATCCAGAAGGAAAGCCCCCCTTCAGAGGACTGGGGCAGCTCTGGTCTGTATACAGGGCCTGCAGGTATGTTCTGACGCGTTAGCCTCTGATGGCAGGTGGGGGTGGCATGGATTTGGTGGTCGAGTGTGATAGAGCTGCAGATGCTTTTTGAATGTTCCTTATATGTACATACTAAAGCGTTTCTCTGCTAACGCACATGTCCAAGGAATCGCCCTCGCTTTCCTTCGACTCGATCGACAACGTGCATCGCTGGGAGTGCAAGACGAATCGCCGACTGATTTTTGTGGAATCGCCCAAGAGAGAATCCCATCCCAAGGACCGAAAGTCAAACTCCAACCGGGAAGGTTATCGCCCGTCGGCTCGTCTTCTCCGCTAACGGCGGTTGTCATGCGCATCTTAACGGCAGGTTCCTATGGTCACAAAGTTAATGTGGATGATGTCGAGCTTCTACAAGATGCGGTCAATGTTGCCCTTCAGAATGGTCCTATTGTTCCTCATGGAGGGCGGATGATGGGTGGAGACGAGGTTTTGTTTGGTAGGGCTGGGTTGCTATGGGCGATCTTGAATATTCGAGAGCATGACTTCGATGGCCAGAAAACGGCTTACCTGCAGCCTGTCTTTGACGCTGTTCCTAGCCTTATCGATGCGATAGTTGACGCCGGAAGACAGGGCCGGAAAGAACACATTGAGAAGCATGGCAGCGAGGGAGCTCTTCCGCTGATGTGGACGTGGATGGAAGGCCACTACGGCTTGGGACTGTAAGTGGCCGGAGATACAGCGCTCGACGTAGGAAGTACTAATGCGGTGAATAATCTAGGGTTCATGGACTGAGTATGTACATTCGCAATTGCACGGGAAAAGGATGGAACTAATTCTCCCATAGCTGGTATTCTCGCCGTCCTTCTTGCCTGCAGGGCATCGGAGCTGAACGATGGCATCTCACGGGATTACCTCTCCTGGCTGGCTGGCACCGTCACCGGTGTATGTGAACTATGCATTGCGAACGGCGGCCACCTTCCTACGGCCATACCCTCTCGCCATTCCTCATCTCATCGACCCTCTCATTTTGTCCAGATCTGCCATGGCGCTCCTGGAGTATTGCTTCTCATGGCCTGCGCAAGGAGAAACACATACTTGGTTTCCAACTTCTGGGAGCCTACATGGGACGAGGCCATCCGGCTGGCGAGCGAGAGAACCTGGGAGGAAGGCCTACTTTCGAAGGGTGGAGGCATCTGTCACGGAATCGCCGGGAATGCATGGCCGTGGCTGCTTCTGCACGACAGTTTCGAATATGATATCGACACGATGCACATCGCAAAGCGCAACTACGTAGACCGGACTCGGATGACGGACAACAAGTCCACTGAGCATGAACTGACCGGCGACTATTTCTTGTCGCGAGCGTTAGCCTTCTTGCTCCACTCGCGCGAGACACCCCCTTATGACATGTCTTCCGATATTTATCGGCTTCCCGACCATCCGTTCTCCTTGACGGAAGGGTTGGCGGGCACCGTTTGTGCCTGGGCGGATGCCTGCGTTGCCATCCAGGCGAGACTACGAAAGATAGAAATGACAGCGCAGGGGCCTTGCTCGGAGGTTGATCTCAAGCGAGATTCAGTCTTTCAAGGGCTCGAGAGTCGCCAACTAGGGTTCCCAACCCTCGCTTATCATAGACCTACTGGTTTGATCTAGAACAGGTGGGATAAAAGAAGGCGATTAGAAAGAAATCGGGAGGACAAATGGGAGGGGGATATAGTCAAATTTTCACGCTCAGCTCGCTAGGAAATATGGGATATATACATGCTATGCATCAGACATTGGCAACATTGAAAGAAAAAAGAAACGAACGTAGTCCCAAGCGCCTGGCCTAGAATCCAATCACTGCCCCAAAAGAGTTGGTTTCAAGGAGCAGCTGACTTCAGTATAAAGTAAACCCTGTTCGATACATTGGCGGATGACCTGGAATTTCCGTTCGATATTCGATGCGTTTTGGCATGAAGTTGCCCGATGGTGCCTCCACAGCAACCCTCCAGCGACGCCAGCAATGATTCGTCTGGTGATGCGGATCGCCGCAGAAGGTGCAGCGCGCCCCGGTCGGTTTGGAAGAGGGATTCTGCTGCGCTCGCGGTTCTGGCTGACTTTGGCTGCGATTCCTGGCTTTCTGAGGTTCGTTGTTCTGGCGCATCTGGTGGATCACATAGTCGTTGATTTCCTCCTGACTCGGCTTCTTACTGTGTCCCCGAACAGTATGCCGACGACGGGGGTATCCACCATCACGGCTCATCTGCTGCACCACGAAGGCATTGATGTCGTCCTGAGTGACATCCTCCTCTGGCACAGTGGGGATGTTGGATGGAGGTGGTGGTGGCCCGGGTGGGAGCGGTTCAGCAGGCAAAACCTTTCGGGTTTCAAGTCGCCCTCCCGCCCCTCGGATGACCTTCTCGTGATCGATGGCTAGCTTCGCGAGCTCCTGAAACGTCATCCTATGCTCGGGGTTCGGGGCGTTGATTCGGTTATCCCGCAGCATCGCCGTGGCCCAGTCGTCCCATTCGGGCCGCACTTTTAGCTTTGTCAGAAACAAAGTGTTGATCTGAGAGTCGGGAATATCGAAGTCATCATCGATCTGAGTGAGACCCTCCCGCGTCGCCTGGATAAGCGCAATAAAATCGGCTACCGAATCGGATTGGGCAGAATCGAAGTCAACAAACTCGCTGATTTGATGGATCATACGCATATTCCGCTGCCAGGCATCCATTTTCGGCAACTGGTCAAGGCGACTCGGGGACAGGGAAACAAGAGGCCTTGAGGGTGGTTTGGGCCTGGCAAAAAGAGGGGGGGCTCTAAAGAGAGGAGATTCTGACCGTCAGCTTTGGGCAATTGGTTTGTTTGCTGCATGCGAGGCGTGACGTCATGTGAGAGCCCTGGGCCTTATGTAATGCGACTGTAGATCTAAGTTAGTTAAGTTACTCCCCACTGTAGTTATGTACTCCTTATCGCCATCTACATACAATCCAATTCCTAGGAGATAGTTATTAGAGGACTCACATTTTGATTTCCTCTGTTATTAAATTCCAAGAACCTACCTATCAAATCCCTCTACCAGCTCTTGAATCCCTCGCCTTCCGTGCCATGTGGTTGACACGCCACAGCCTATGAGCGTCCGCTGGGAACACGAGTAGTGGCAGTGCTAAGTCGATCCTGGTGATGATGGACGTCTTGGGGGCCATTTTCTTAGCTCAACCGAGTCCGCTTCCCGTCAAGGACGACCATCTCTGCCACTACTTGTTTAGTTGCAGAGCTTCTCGGGACGTGACGTCGTTTGAAGCTAGAAAGGCACTTTCGGTCGCTAATCTTACGCTGTCATGCTGCCCTACGGTAATTCTTGTTAATTCTCCACTTCATTCGACATAGAAAAAAAAAGATGGATATTGTGCCTCCCTCGTATGAGTCGGCAACGACGAGAGATGCATGGTCTATTATTGCTCGCTATATCCCGTCCAGTGACTTATGTGCGGCTGCCCTGGTATGTCAGAGATGGCATGGACTCTTCATGCCTTTTCTTTGGGGGGATCCTGCCTCTCATTTCGGGACCGATAATGATGCTGTATATGGTAAGAGTTGACTCAAAAGATTCATTCGATCCCGTGTCTTTTACTAATAAACAACTCTGAACCACAGTCGCTCTTACGAGATTTAGGAGGACGTTGAAGTATGCAAGACTTGTAGTGCGCATGCTAACGCACACCCTTCACCTTCCACCGGCTCTGTCTGAAATATACGGAGGCCCACGACCCGAGTGGCTGAAGGAGGTCCTCCATTATCTCCCCAACCTACAGTCACTGATTGTATCTAAACTACCTTTCTTCGATCACAACGCAATGATGGCCTTGAAAGGTACTACTCGGAATGAACAACAAGCCGATACCGCTGTTTCCAATGCATATAGCGTCCGTTTATTGCTTGCGGACCGGGAGCCCAACACGACGTCACAGGGCCTTGCGGAAGCACTGCTGAGATTCTCAGAACTGGTGTACCTCGATTTATCATATACCACGCCGGCCCGAGATCGTATGGTCTTATCCTCGTTATCTCAATTGGAACATCTCCAGGTGTTAAAATTACGAGGTATAGGTCTGAAGGATACCGATACGGAATTCCTAGCCAATGCTGTTGGGTTGCGAGCCCGATTCTTAGACTTGCGCGAGAACATGCTGACTGACATGGCCGTGCGATCTTTGTTGCAAGCCTCATTCCTAACCTCGGGCGACGCTGCGATCGATTCTAGTGCAGGAGTGACAAATACGGGGACAATTTGTGCTTTCCCTCAGTTGACTCCATCGTTCTCGAACTCCAAGTGGCTGAGCTCCTCCGCCTTAGATGAACAGTTTATGAAAGCATTGACGCAGCCCCTGACGGGCCGCTCGTGGGTTGAGGGCCTATCACACAGTGGCATCACGCACCTCTATATAGCGGACAACCAGATTACGGTGGAAGGCGCTGCAAGTCTCCTAGCTTCGTCTAGGCTGCATGTGCTCGACGTGGGTACGGTCGATACCGTGGAATCTCTCACTCGAGGGCCGAGTTCCATACCTTCACAGCCCCACGAAGGTCCCCAGGAACTTCCTGGAGCCGAAAAACTGATACCGATTCTTGGATCTGCCGCTCGAGAAAATCTGACGTATCTGAGAGCACACCATGCCATCTGCACAAATAACAACCCGTACAAAGAGTCTGTTTCGCTGAACAACCTTTTGCCCGAACTCCCAGCCGAAACTGAGACCGACACCGCGGAACAACAAGCGGATGTAGAGCTGGATGCTGCAAATGAGATTCATGAACTCCCCGCTCAAGAGGCCCCAATATTTGAGCTCGAAGGGTCTCCGCTTCCACCATCATCGGAGAGACCCGTAAATGGGCCTAGCCAGCCAAATATCTATGAAGACGAACCATTACCTTTGCGTCGACGCGGTTCGATCTTTGCCCCAGAAATCATCGAGGACGGACCATCTCCCGGAGTTGCTCGTGGCCTTTCATTATCGACTGTTTCGGACTCAGAAACCAGTCCGGAGCAGGCCGGGGCAATTCCTCAATGTACTTCGCCTGTATCAATGGATGACCCTCGAGGCCAAATGATTCAAGAGCTACTCTCTAAGAGACCCAAAAACCAATCGCTCCCGCGACGTGATCACAAAGACAACAGCTTTCCATACCTGCATCCCTCTCATGTTCCTCATCTCGAGACGCTGGTTCTGACCGATGTCCCATCCCACGTGCCTGCAAATTCTCCCTACCTAAAATCTCTGATCCGATTCATTACCGCATGTTCTAATGAGGCGCTGCTGGCCACTCTTCAAGCAGGCTCTGATTACTCGCTCCCTCCAGGGCGGGATCGGGTGAAGGCCGAGCAGGAACGATCCCGGTCACTCTTTGCTTTACGACGACTGGTGCTTGAGATTTCCCCTACAGAGAAACTGACTGGCCCTGCCAGACTGACTGCGTGGAAACCCGCAAGCTACCACAACGGGACGTCCAAGTCGACCACAGGGGACCGGGACCTCGAAAATTTGTGGACAGCATCGATGGATGATTTCAGCTTCTTCGACGAGACTGAATGTGGTATTCCTGAGAACGACCCGGGCAAGTACTTCCCGATGGCAGCCCTCAATGAGAAGGTTACTTTGATGCCCGAAGATGACTCGGGGGACTCCACCTCCATATCCTCCTCACCAGGCCTGCTTCATCGCAACTCCTCGCTGCCGAAGCACATGCGACCCGATGTCACTAGCAGGGACATGGCTGCTAATGGCACACATCCACCACAAGTTGAGGAGCCAGAAGTGGACCTGGTCGCCGAACTGGCCGCCTTCCGACGGGCAAAGAAGGTGGAATATGAAGAAGTGGTACGGCGGGATCGGAAACGGCGCAGCACTGTAGGGTCTGCGTCACTGCTCTCGCCTTCGACATCATCGATTCGATCCGTATCTCCATCACCAAGTATCAGGTTCACCGGAGTGGTCTCGACGGCTCAGCTGTCCATGGCCCAATTCGTGAAAGGGCATTGGAAAGGAGAAGTGAAGATCGTGCGAAACGCCGCGCCCAAGGGACGGAGCGGCGTGGTGGATATGTATGGGAATTATTTCGAGAAGGGGTATCTGTATCCTTGACGAGCAAGATGGACATAAGAGTTCTTCTTCTGTACCCCTGAACTATTTCCTGTATGGAATAGCGTATTATGGATGTGCTACACTCAATTAGATCGAGGATAGATCCCAGCAATGGATGACTAGAAATTCAGGCCTAATGGTGTGGGCCTAAGTACTCCGCACAGGGCAAGATGATGTAGTGGAAATGCTACGAGGCGGGGTCGATTGTTGAATCCATAGTTTTGTCATTTTCTTTTTCAATCGTAAACTTGGCGAGGAAGTTTTGTTTGTCGCCAGAGTCATCCGTCATGGTACATACATAGGCCTCGGGATAGGGCAAGTGGTAAGAAACCAGTCCGCCGGGACCGAGTCCACCAGACCGTCCCGAGTCCTCCACGGTGGAAGATACTCATTATCATTTTTCATAGCGTGGGCAAACCGATCTTTAAAATGTCTTGTTTCGTTTTAATATCGTCTCCTGCCCACGGACGACCCGTCATGCAAGCCTTCAACCCCGAAACTGAAACCCGTTCATTCCATTTGAACCAAGTAAGAAAGTTTGTTCAAGTTCTTAACAAAAAGGAAAGGAAACGAAAAGAAGCCACACAGAAGCCTTTTAAAAAATCATTCCATTTTTCTTCTCTGTTTTAACCTTCCTTACAAAGCCTTGTTGGCCTGAGGGGGAGCCAGCTTCTTGCCGTCCTTGTTGTACCTGATACGGGGAGGGGGGGCACGGTTGCGGCGGCCTTCCCGGGAACGGACACTGTAAAGCACAAACCGTCAGCTTTTGTTTATCTTGTGTGATCTTCCCAAAGAAAGTTGTGGGAGGAATTTGCAGGGAGCCGGGAGGTGATGCGTACCGAACAATCTTGCCGTGGATAGCGCAGGAGACGCAGTACTGCAGCTTCAGGTACATCTTGGGGACGGCATAGTCAGTGAAGACGGAGGCGTCGGAAATATCACCTGCAGGATAGGAAAGAATCCGAAAGTCAGCCCGATTTTGCTCTGGAATTCGCAATGCCCATCGGAAGGCGTCCACGCGGTGCGGCTGTGAAATTCCATTGATTCCATGAAGTCGTCTAGTCGTCATTTCCTGTTCCTCATTCATCTCCTCAATCTTCCTCTCTCTGTGGTTGATTGGACTCCAGCTCTTTTCGGAACAACAGCGCGCGCGATGGACGGTGGGATTCAATCAATTGCAGGAATAGGCTCGAACGTACGGATGGCAGCGGACTCAACCATGTTGCGGATGGTGAATCTCTTGATGGCCTTGTCCTTGGGGACGCAGCGAGCGCAGTTGGAGCAGCGCACGGGCTTAACGTGGCCGCGGCCATTCTTGTTACGACCGCTGTAGAGAAAGAAGCACACCAGTTAGTTCTTCATGTTCCCATTTAAGAAAAAAAAAAATCGCGGCCATCTCAAATCCGTGGCCATGTAAATATCGGCCTCTTTCTTGTGGTTCATAGTTCCGTTGGCGTGGTCGATATTGGTAGAACATGGACGGACGGCATGAAATGGGGAAGGGGTCGGTCCTTACTTGTTAGCCCTCTTCTTGACCATCTTGACGGATTTCTCTGTGGCGAAGGGTTAGAGATGTTCAGTCCGGGAGAAGAGGGAAGGCGCGTACTTGGCTTGTCGGGGTTGGTTGTCGGGAGGCAGGAGACTCTCGTGATAGAGTTGTGTCGGGTTTCAAGGTTGTGTGCGGCTAAGCGAGCCCTGAGGGTCACGGTCACGGGATGTGACGGTCTGGATGCCTTGACACCTGAACACCTGAGTGCCTGGCATTAGTCAGTTGATGCCTGACAGCCTCAGGCTACCTTGATCGGGGCCTTACGGGACTCCTGTACCAATACGGGTATTGTGTTTACCTGACGGTGGTCCCATTTGGGATTCTCGTGACCGCAAGCCAATAGTTCGCGCCCCGAACCCCTGTCTGTCCGTCTTCTGATATCGTTCGATCTTTGGAGTCATTGCCGTCCGTCCTTCTCTTCTTCTTCCTCTTCCTCGCTCTTTCTCTCTCGTCTCTCTCTTCCCTTTGTTGTCATCCCTTCTTTCCCCCCCTTCATTTCCTCTCATTGGATCCCTGCCCCTCCCCTTCTCCAGTTTGGTGACATGTCGGCGACAGGTACTTACAGGGGAACCACCAGCCACAAGACTGTCGGTCGAGGCAGGCTGCCCGACTTCGAGAACGGTCCGCAATCCCACATCCCTCGTCCTCGTCCGGACAGTTCTTCCACAATCCAAACACCCCATACCCCCTCCAGCGATATTGGAAGTTCCACCATGAGTGCCGCCAGTAGCCGGCAGCGACAGAACCAGTCGAAGCGCGATGAGGTATGCCATCTTCCTTGCTTGTTTGTCTCTGCCCAACCTCGGATGCCTTCTTTTACCGCCAGTTCGTTTGATGCGGCGTTACTTTGACTTTTTGAATTTTTTTTGCTCGCACTTTTGTCTCTTTGGTGTTTTATTTTATTTTTTTTTACCCTCAAAATCGTCTTGTTTCAATTCGATTTTCTATGCAATTTTCCAATCCCCTCTGCTGTTCATGTCTCCGTGACAAACCACCATGTGATTCCAAAGTTTTGAAACCACACGGATCGACTCTAATGCATTGTACCAGGCGATTCGTCGAAAATTGGAGGCCGACCTCAACAAAAAGAGGCAGAATCCCGCCCGTGCCAGTCGCTCTCGAAAGGCCCCTCCCGGTACCGTGCTGGCCTTGAAACCGAGTCAGGCCCTTCAGATCAAGCCCAACACCACCATCGCCGAAGCCGCTCAGTTGATGGCCGCAAAGCGGGAGGACTGCGTGCTGGTGACCGACGATGATGATCGAATTGCCGGTATCTTCACCGCGAAGGATCTCGCTTTCCGCGTGGTGGGAACCGGACAGAAGGCGCGAGAAATCACGGTGGCCGAGATCATGACGAAGAACCCCTTGTGCGCCAGGACGGATACCAGTGCCACGGATGCCCTCGACCTGATGGTGAGGAAAGGATTCAGACATTTGCCGGTCATGGATGAGAACCAGGATATTTCGGGTGTCCTCGATATCACCAAGTGCTTCTACGATGCGATGGAGAAATTGGAGCGCGCCTACAGCTCGTCTCGGAAGCTCTACGACGCCCTGGAAGGTGTGCAGACGGAACTTGGCTCCAGTCAACCCCAGCAGATCATTCAGTATGTGGAAGCCCTGCGATCGAAAATGTCCGGGCCTACTCTGGAGACGGTCCTGGACGGCATGCCCCCGACCACCGTCTCTGTCCGTACCACCGTGAAGGATGCTGCGGCCCTGATGAAGGAGCATCACACCACCGCCCTGCTGGTGCAAGATCAGGGATCCATCACCGGTATCTTCACCAGTAAAGATATCGTGCTCCGTGTCATTGCGCCCGGCATGGACCCCGCTACCTGTAGCGTCGTTCGGGTGATGACACCGCACCCCGACTTTGCTCCCAGCGACATGAGCATCCAGGCTGCGCTCCGCAAGATGCACGGTCCGTATACCCCAATCCAGCTGGAGGAATCATACATGGTGACTAACGTTGATCGATTTAGATGGCCACTACTTGAACTTGCCCGTTATGAACGAGGGTGGAGAAATCGTGGGAATGGTGGATGTGCTGAAGCTCACCTACGCTACCCTAGAACAGGTCAGTATACCAGGGAAGAACCGGACTCTGCCATGGATCCAGCGTGGTCCGCTAACACCGCCTATTCTAGATCAACTCGATGTCAACTCAAGATGATGAAGGTCCCGCCTGGAACAAGTTCTGGCTGTCCATGGATCACGAGTCGGACTCGATGGTCTCGGGAAGCCAGCAGCAAACTCATAACCGGTCAGTGATGAGTCCCGAGTCTCCGAAACGTGGTTATGACGCCCGAGACAGCGTGCTCCCGAACGAGTCCGCCTCCCACCACGGGGGAGATGAGCACTCGGAGTTTATCGAACATCATCATTCTGAGCTTGCCCCGTTCCCCTTCAAGTTCAAGGCACCCAGCGGCCGTGTGCACCGGGTCAACGTTCTCCAGACAGCCGGCGTTGCTGATCTGATCTCTCAAGTCACGGCCAAACTGGGCCAAGAGGTCGAGGCGGTCGGAGGCGCGGCCATTTGCGAGGACGGAAGGTTGAGCAACACGGGTTACGCTTTGAGCTACTTGGACAACGAAGGCGACACTGTCTCGATCACTACCGATCAGGATCTTGCCGACGCCGTGACCCTTGCACGACAATCGCGTCGGGACAAAGTTGATCTCTTCGTCCACGATCCTACGCAACCCCCGATCCCCGTCACCGTGGAGCCGCAGCCAACGCCTGCCAAGCCCGTGGAAGAGAAGATCACCCCCATCTCTGAAGAGCTACCAAGCGAGGAGCCCATCGAGACGAAGCCGCGGTCTCAGAGCTTCCAGTCGCACAACCACCAGGAGGAGCAGTTGATTGCCGGCGTTCCCAATGACCTGCTCCTGCCCGGCGCGATTGTGACACTGGCGGCCGTCATTGCAGGTGTGTTTGTGCTCAGTCGGGCCACTGCACGGTAAATAAGGAGGAGTTTCAAGGTCGAGGATGGGCGGAAGACAGGAAACCTTGTAAAACTTTATTTTTTTTTTCTCTCCCCTCGTGTTTTGTTCATGTCGGTGGACCTTCTCTCGATCCCTTCAGCATTTTCTTCACTATTTTCCTTCTATGTCTTCTCTGTACCCCTCGTAGCGTTTTCTCAACCCGATTCCCTTTGATCGAAAACTTCCTGGTTTTAATATATCCTTTTAGAGAGTTAGAGTATAGGATACCTGATTGTATGCATACTAGCAGACATCCATATATATATCCATCCATCCATCCATCCATCCATCCATCGCTGGTTCTCTCTCGGACCGAGTAGTCGGTAGTAGTCGGTAGTCTGGCTGTTCCTGGGTGCCTGGGTGCCTGAATGCCTGAATGCCTGGGTGCCTGACTTGGCGGGCGCGGCCCAAAGGGGACTAGTGCGGCGGTGCCTCGAAAGGCTGGAAATTTTTGGTTGGACCTTTTGGACTTCAACCCACATCCTTTATTCCCTCTCCCCCTCCCTTCTTCCCAGCACCGCTACTCCGGCTGGGATGCTGTGCCTGCCTACCTCTCTTGTCTGGAATTGATCTCGTCTGTTTCAACCCTCCGACCTCGTGGATTGCCAAGGGTCGTCTTAACTTCCACGTCCCTCTCGACCACCCCCACCAAAACATCTCCTAAAAAATTCCCATTTAACGCCTTACCCCACTTACCACCTCGGACTCAGCGCCGACCTCCCGTGTCTTTTCTTTCCGTTTCACCACTGGGATTCCTGGACCTTTGACCTCCCATCCTTATCGTCAGGACCGAATCGGCGATATGTCGTTGCTACCCCCCGAAATCCACTCGGCGCTCTCGCAGCTCCTGCGCGCGTTGACCACCGCCGATAATACGATCCGTGCTCAGGCCGAAGAACAGTTGAACAATGATTGGATTGTAGCCCGTCCTGACGTGCTCTTAATGGGCCTGGTGGAACAGATTCAGGCTGCAGAGGATCTTGCCGTAAGTGTCCTAGCTTTTCGCTTGAACTTCCAAACAGCAACGTCTTGTCTTTCCCCCGCATTGCATGCCGGGGTACTGGTTGGAGGAGCAGTCTCGTATTGATTGTGTCTTTCTATTCTGCAGACCCGGGCATTCGCCGCAGTATTGTTCAGAAGAATCGCGACCAAGACGCGAAAAGACCCCGTCACAAATGAGGCCCGGGAACTCTTCTCGACTCTTACCACAGACCAGCGCCTGGTCATTCGACAGAAACTGGTGACATGCCTGACCACGGAGTCGGCGACGGACGTGCGAAAGAAGATTGGAGACGCCGTGGCAGAAATCGCGAGACAGTACACCGACAATGGTATGCACAACACCGACCGTCTGCTTTTATGTTCCTTCCCTTCCACCCCGGAAGTTCCTTTTCCGAACTTGATGAGTGACTCCTCTAGGTGACCAATGGCCCGAGCTTCTGGGAGTTCTCTTCCAGGCCAGTCAGTCGCCCGATGCCGGCCTGCGCGAGGCCTCGTTCCGGATCTTCTCGACCACCCCCGGTATCATCGAGAGGCCCCACGAGGATGCCGTTGTGGGCGTCTTCAACAAGGGTTTCAAGGACGACCTTGTCACCGTGCGCATTGCCGCCATGGAGGCCTTCGCTTCCTTTTTCCGCTCCATCTCCAAGAAATCCCAGCCTAAGTTCTACTCCCTCATGCCCGAATTGCTCAACATCCTGCCTCCGTTGAAGGAGTCGTCCGAGAGCGACGAGCTTTCGTCGGCTTTCCTGGCTCTTATTGAGCTGGCCGAAATCTCGCCGAAGATGTTCAAGAGCATGTTCAATAACCTGGTCAAGTTCAGTATCAGCGTCGTTGCTGACAAGGACCTGAGCGACCAGGTCCGACAGAATGCGTTGGAGCTGATGGCCACCTTTGCCGACTACGCCCCGGGCATGTGCAAGAAGGACCCTGAGTTCGCCCGCGACATGGTGACTCAGTGCTTGAGCTTGATGACTGATATTGGCGTCGACGATGACGATGCTTCCGAGTGGAACACGTCGGAGGATGTACGTGATGCCCCCTCAACCGACTAGACTTCTTTCGTACTTGATGCTGACCTTCGAAAAAGCTTGACCTGGAAGAGAGCGATCTCAACCACGTCGCTGGTGAACAGTGCATGGATCGCTTGGCCAACAAACTTGGCGGCCAGGCCGTGCTTCCCCCCACCTTCTCTTGGATCCCTCAGATGATGTCTTCCTCCGCCTGGCGTGATCGTCACGCAGCTCTCATGGCTATCTCCGCTATTTCGGAAGGTTGCCGCGACCTGATGATCGGTGAACTCGACCAGGTGCTGGGCCTGGTTGTGCCCGCATTGCAGGATGCCCACCCTCGCGTCCGCTATGCCGGCTGCAACGCATTGGGCCAGATGAGCACCGATTTCGCTGGTACCATGCAGGAGAAGTACCACGGCATCGTGTTGAACAACATCATCCCCGTGCTGAACAGCGTGGAGCCCCGTGTCCAGGCGCACGCCGCCGCGGCTCTGGTCAACTTCTGCGAAGAGGCCGAGAGACGGGTTCTCGAACCCTACCTCGCCGAGTTGCTACGGCACCTTCTACAGCTCCTACGCAGTGAGCACCGCTATGTGCAAGAACAGGCCCTCTCCACGATCGCCACGATCGCGGACTCTGCGGAGAATGCATTCGACCAGTACTACGACACGCTGATGCCCTTGCTTTTCAACGTGCTGAAGGAGGAGCAGTCCAAGGAATACCGCCTGCTGCGTGCCAAGGCCATGGAGTGCGCGACCCTGATCGCCCTGGCGGTGGGCAAGGAGAAGATGGGCCAAGACGCCCTGAACCTGGTGCAGCTGCTGGGCAACATCCAGCAGAACATTGTCGACGCGGACGACCCGCAGTCGCAATACCTGCTCCACTGCTGGGGCCGTATGTGCCGGGTTCTGGGCCAGGACTTCGTTCCCTACCTTCCCGGCGTCATGCCCCCTCTTCTGTCGGTTGCGGCCGCCAAGGCGGATATTCAGTTGCTTGACGACGAGGACCAGATCGACCAGGTGGAGCAGGATGAGGGCTGGGAGCTGGTGCCTCTAAAGGGCAAGATCATCGGTATCAAGACCAGCGCGCTTGAGGACAAGAACACCGCCATCGAGTTGATCACCATCTACGCGCAGATCCTCGAGGCCGCCTTCGAGCCTTACGTCCTGGAGACGATGGAGAAGATCGCCGTGCCCGGCCTGGCCTTCTTCTTCCATGACCCCGTTCGGGTGTCGTCGGCGAAGCTCATCCCCCAGCTTTTGAACGCCTACCGGAAGGCCTACGGCGAGTCGTCGCCTGGTTTCGCGCAGATGTGGAACAAGGTGGCCGAGAAGATCATCGAGGTGCTCAGCGCCGAGCCCGCGGTCGACACGCTGGCCGAGATGTACCAGTGCTTCTACGAGTCCGTGGAGGTGGTCGGCAAGAACTGCCTCACTCAGCAGCACGTGCAAGCGTTCATCGAGTCGGCCAAGTCGACGTTAGAAGACTACCAGGTGCGCGTGAAGGCGCGACTAGAGGATCGGGCCGACGCCGAAGACGGCGACGAGGAGAACCTCGACTACGAATACGCCGTCGAGGACGACCAGAACTTGCTCAGCGACATGAACAAGGCCTTCCACACCATCTTCAAGAACCAGGGCACGTCATTCCTGCCCGCCTGGGAGACTCTCATGCCGTTTTACGACGCCTTCATCACGAGCCAAGACCCCACGCAACGCCAGTGGGCTCTGTGCATCATGGACGACGTGCTGGAATTTTGCGGATCCGAGTCGTGGAAGTACAAGGACCACATCATGCAGCCGCTGGCCGCTGGACTGCGGGACCAGAACGCGGCCAACCGCCAGGCCGCTGCGTACGGAGTGGGAGTTGCTGCGCAGAAGGGTGGCGAGGCCTGGAGTGACTTCGTGGCCGCTAGTATCCCCAGCCTGCTGCAGGTCACCCAGATCAACCAGGCGCGGTCAGAGGAGCATGTTTATGCGACGGAGAATGCCGCCGCCAGTATCGCCAAGATCTTGCACTTCAACAGCAGCAAGGTGCAGAACGCCAATGAGGTCGTGGCCAGCTGGATCGCCACTCTGCCCATCACTTTCGACGAAGAGGCCGCTCCTTACGCCTACTCCTTCTTAGCTCAACTGATTGACCAGTAAGTTTTCTCTCTTTCCATCCTACCGACCGTTCACTAACGCTTTGACTGCAATAGGCAACATCCGGTGGTGATGTCGAATGCCGACAAGGTGTTCGGGTATATCGTGCAAGCCCTGGAGAACGAGACTTTGCAGGGGCAGACGGCCGGACGAGTGGCCGCCTCGGCCAAGCAGCTGGTGACCAGCACGGGGCTGAATGCCGATCAGATCCTGGCGGGTGTGAACCCCGACAACCAGGCGGCGGTGCGGAGTTATTTCCAGTAGAGACGGCGCAGCAACAGAGGAAATTGGTTTATTAACAAAGGCGTGATATGGGAACGAGTGGGTGCCGGCTCTATTTGTCTACGTGAATTATGGTTGTTTCTAATGTCCCATTTGATTTCCCCCCTGAATCTATAGCGTGTGCCCCCCGTTGGTCGGTGATTGTGCACTGCGTAGACCGGATTCTTGTTCTTTTTGCTTTCGCATTTTCTTTTCGGTCCTTCCAGGGAGAGAATATATACAATATATATTCATTTCATAAGCTTCATTTCCTGCATGCGCTACTAAATACTGCTGCTGCTTTGACATTATTACTACCAAAACTTTGAATTAACCCACCACCAAGTTCAAGATGTCCAGCACCTGCTCCTTCTTGGTCAATGGCACGGGATTCGTCTGGCACCAGCGATCATGCAGACTGTTGGCCGCCAGCGAATCGAGCTGATCCGCTCCCACCCCCACGTCTTTCAACGAGCGCGGCATCCCCAGTTCGCGGATCACCACGTCCAACACGTCGGCCAGATCGGCCCGCTGGCCGTCGACGCCGTGTTGCTGCAGGGACCCCGCCACGGTGGAGTCTTCGACCAGGAAACGACGCAGGCGGTCCTGGCGCTCGTTGTTGGCATTTTGCGTGGCGTTGTACTTACACACGGCTGGTAGAAGGATGCAGCTTGTTTCGCCGTGACCGACGCCGAGGGGACCGAGCTGTGGCAAGTAATTAGTATCCGGGTCCTCTTTGTATAAAAGAGGAAGGGTAGTGTGGGGGAGGGAAGAAGGTTGCTCAGAGAGGGAAAGAAAGATTACACCCACCTGATGTCCAATACCATGACTGGCACCCAACTGCACCGCCTCACCACTCGTACAAGCCGCCATAGCATCCACCGACCCCAACTGGCACGACAAGCGGGCCTCCAAATCGTTCGGATCACGCTTACACCGCAAGAGCGACGGCACGAGCAGGCCCAGGGCATGGCGCGCCAGGGCATCGGTCTTCTCGCTCGTCGACGCCGACACGGCTACGTACGTCTCGACGCAGTGGTCGACAGCGCGCACGCCGGTGCTCAACCAGATGCGCTCCGGCGTGGTGGTGGTCAACGCCGGGTCCAGGATGACCAGCTCGGGGCCTTTCAGCGGGGCCTGGAATGAGTGCTTCCGCTTCGAGGCGTCGTCCGTGGCACCGGCGAAGTTCGAGTACTCGCCGGCAGACAGCGACGTCGGGACGGAGATGATGGGGATCTGGGGCGCATGGATATCGAGGCGCTGGTCGGATCCCACGGCGAGGGTGAAGAGGTCGGATGTGGTGGAGACAGAGTTGGCGAGGGCCTGTTTGTTCATGGTCAGTTGTCAGCCATTCCAGTCGGTGTTCCGTATATGTTGATGGATGGAGAAAGGAAGGGAACAGGGAGAAACCATACCAAAGCAATGACCTTCGCCCCATCCGTCAAACTGCCTCCTCCAACGGTGATCAGCAAATCCGCCTGTACGCGGCGCACATCATGCACGATCTCCAACACCTCGGACCACAGGGTATGGCTCTGCATGCCGACGCGGACGCCCACGAGGGTGTCCGGTCCCAGGGCCTGACGCATCCGGTCCAGCACGTCGGTGTTGCGCGCCAGCGACCCTGAGCAAATCACGTAGACCCGCTCGGCATGGAAGGTTTCTCGCACGTGGTGAGCGGCGGCGGCGGGGAAGGGGATGCCGTAGGAGAGGAGGGGCCGCGAACGGTCGGCGAAGGCGGCGCGAACAGTTTCCATTTCGATTTTTTCCTTCTGATTATTTTTTGAGTTTTGTATTAAAAGAAAAGGGAGTGTGATGATGGATGTGATATGGAGAGAGGAAGGATGGGGAAGATATACTCCGGAGTTGATGTGGGAGCAAAGAATGAAATCATCGGCGCTTTTCCATGTGGGGATGTGGGGCTGGTGGAGCGGAGCGGAGAGGAGTGGAATTTCTTGTCCTTGACTTTCCTCGGGGCCTGCATGAAATGATGAAATTCATCTTCAGATCCATTCTTATTAATAAACACCAGAAACGCCGTTCGAGAGGTCAACCCTTCCCGATTCCTAAATCCTGCAGAGAATGCCTCCGTCCTCTTGAATCCCGGTTCCAGGCAGACCATTAAATACATAATTTGAAGAGGAAAGAAAATGAAAACCAAAGAATCATGAGGGAATCATCGTCCAGTTTTTCAAGTAATCTACGAGCCGCCCTCATTCTCATCTACCACGGCCGCACGCAACTCCCAGACAATATCGTAGCATTCCGCCAGCAGCGCGTTGACACTCCCCTGTCCTTCGGGGATGTCACTCCCTACGTAGAATTTGCCGTCGATTCGCATGTTATCGATCGAGTTGAGCTGCGACAGGTTAGCGACCAATGTGGTGGTAGGCCTGGGGAACTCGTTACGAGGACCCACCTTCATACTGTAGGGGTAGAGCTCGCGCGAGTTCGACACGCCGCCGGACTCCTTGACCTCGAGCAAACAGCGGCGCAGAGTCTGTAGTTGGTTGTAAACCGGTAGTAGTGCCTCCGATACGGGCTCCGATGAGATCAGCAGCGCATAGATGTATCCGTAGCTTCTCCGGATCAGGTACAACAGCGTCTAGACGAGTGGGTCAGTTCTCGAGCCATAACCAGGGTCTCAGGGGGAATAATGCCTACCCGCTGTGCATGGATATCTGCCGGCTTCCCTTGTGCGTCCACGAAGTTGCCATTAATGCGCGCCTCGTCAATCCGATCGAGTTTGCGCTGGTAGCCAAAAAGATCTGTCTCACGTAGCGACCACGCCTGCGTCACCGACAAGCGGTCCAACTGGTTGCGAATATCCAGCAGACGCTCGTACTGCTCCTGGAATCGATCGTCGATTTTTCCCTCCCTGAATCGCATTAGTTCAGACAAGTTCTAATAGGGTCTTCAAAATGCATCGTTCCCTACCGTTCGAGGACGATTTCCGACCACCGCCAGCAGCGCTCCATCAAGCTCTTTGGTCCGTCCTGGCTAGCAAGCACAGACCCGTCGGGACCCACGAAATTGCCGTCTTTCATCGTGGCCTCGATCTTCTTCAACTGTTTCCGAAGGCCGTTGACTTCCGTCGCGGAGAACTATAATCCAGTCAATGAACTTCCCGGGTCCGACCCCCAACCAAAGAAAAAGGCATACCTTGGATCGAGTATTGACAGCGGAGGTAGATCGCAGGATGGACACAAGAGTCTCGTGGGTTGACGCAAGGTCGGGACTCAAGGCGGACAGACCGCTCCGCAGCTTCGTCAATAGCCTCTGGCATTTCTCCAAACGTCTCTCCAGGAGGGTGAGGAGCGCCGGTGAATATGCGTCGCGACAGCGTTCAATGGTCTCGTTCATGTTGGCCAGTGTTTTGGTGATCGAGTCCAAGTCTTTCGAGCTATAGAAACCGGCCTCTTCAAGGTGGTCGAGCAATCGCTACAAAGCGTATATATTAGAATCACAAAACAAGATCACCTGCGAAAGGAGCAGAGTCGGACATACTTGAACAGTCGTCGCAAGGGAGTAACTATATTGCCATCGACCCCTCGTTAGCCTCGGATTGGAGAGAATATGCCGCGGGGAGATCGGAGACAGTCCACTTACACTGCGGGAGCTTCGTTGTTTCGCCCCACCGTCAGGAACAGCAGGGAGATCAATTGAAAACAGTCGTCCAAGACGTAGTCCACTAGATAGCCGGAGCCAAAACAGTCGCAGTCAGCCTGGTATCCCGAGCAAAGTTCACGTTCACACGCAAGAGACGCAGTCGGATGCTAACGTCGGTTATGTGACAGCCGGCGGTCTCCTTCCTTCCGCACGGCATTGAGCTTCTCCACTTCCCCAATCACTTCTTCGTATAAGGGAAGTACATCGCGGGATTTGATATAAGAGGACTTGTCCTGTTTGATCAATATAAGGGCATCGCGAGTGTGCAACAACTTGTCGAGAATCGGCTGTTCCTGCGGATCCAGCGGAGCGGAGACGGCGGGGGAATCCATGACGCCGGAGAGGGGGAGGAGGGGAGGAGGAAAAGAGTAGAAATGCCGAGAGGGGGAGAGGAAATAGTAATATATCAGAATGATAGAGCAGGTCTATCCGCAGAGAGGAGGTAGTATACAAGACCCGAGATCCGCAGAAGAACGAAAGAACTGAAAGAACGAAGGAAGGAATCGGCAGCGACGCAAGCGACGGGGCGATCAGGCGATGCCATCATCGAGCAGCGACCGCCCCCGATGCGGCCTAGCGCGCGGTCACGGGAGCCCGTCCGCGCTAAGCCCGATCGGGGAAGCCCTAAGCGAGGTCACGCGGCGCCACACACAACATTCCTTCCGCTCTGGGCGAAGCGGCCAATTGACTCTCCACGACAGAAAAAAAGAACCTCCTCTTCCCTTCTCTTCTCTTAATCTGCATCCCTCTCGACACTCCAGTCCTCAGTCAACCCTCCCCCCGTCGACCATCATGTCTACTGCTGAGCTCGCTTGCTCCTACGCGGCCCTCATCCTCGCCGATGACGGTGTCGAGGTGACCGTACGTATTAACCCTGGATCTGCTTTTCCCCGAAGATATTGGTGGTAGTGGACATACACGAGTTGCGATTTCGAGGAGGACGGTGGAACGCTTTGGGCACTGGTCGCGATGATGCAAGGAATGTGACGGAGGGGTGGTGGAAAGAATCTGCGCACGACATCTGGGAAACACAAGTGGTGCATCTCGAAACATGTCAGGCTAACTGATCATCTTTTGGATTTATACAGGCCGACAAGCTCCAGACTCTCATCGGTGCCGCCAAGGTTCCCGAGATTGAGCCCATCTGGACTTCCATCTTCGCCAAGGTAAATTACATTCCGGAATGATTATTCGACGCACAGAGTGATCGACACGTCGGGCGATATCGAATGACTGGGAAATGCGATCGGCTGCTTACGCTTCTGGATATCTATAGGCTCTTGAGGGCAAGGACATCAAGGAGCTCCTGACCAACATTGGCTCCGCTGGCCCCGCTGCCGCTGCCCCCGCCGCCGGTGGTGCCGCTGCTGCCCCCGCTGAGGCCGCTGAGGAGAAGAAGGAGGAGGGTAAGAAACACCCGTTGGACCCGGGCCTGTGCCGCCGGAGTGATGCAGAGGCTAACACGTTGGTTTACAGAGAAGGAGGAGTCCGACGAGGATATGGGCTTCGGTCTGTTCGACTAAGCGTCCTAATACGTTCGGCTTTTCTGTTTTTCCTTTATTCCTCGTTTCTTTCCTATCGAAATTTCCCCTTCGCTTTCCTTGTACCCGATACTACGCGACTGCATGATGAACCAAAAGGGAAAACTAAAAAGATGAATACACGGACAAGGACATCCGGTGGGACTGGGCGCTGGGCTTGCATGATGGGTTTCGTCGTGACAGAGGTACTGGTCCGGATGACGCTAGGATTCTGGCCCGCAGGAAAATCAGGAATTAGTTGCATACATATCGATGGCCGGAGGCGAGATCCTGTTGGCCGTCTTCGACTCTCTGTATGATATGTTTCGAGTTTTAGCTAGTTTCGAGCTATAAGGTGCCCAGCTCTCATGCCATGTCTGTCATGCGACCATGAACAAAAGGTTTCCGTCTGCATTTTCTGTATCACTATAAAGCTTCCTGGACCGCCTGCTCTTGTTCCGGCACAGCGGTATAATCTATAAAAAAAAAAAAAAAAAAAACACATGTAAGCCAAAGCAACGACGTCACGCCCGTTTCCCAACCGTCCAACTTTTTTCGAGAAGTCACAAAGCTCCAAAAGATCAGGCTCCGAAATCCAATCAACTTTTTTATAATCAAGCGCCAATAAAAAAAAATAAAGCCAGAATCAGGAACAACCGACAAGCTGCGCGCAAATCACGTCCAAACGCGCTAACCTGTTAGCGTGTGGGATTTAACATCAGACAAAAAAAAGGGAAACAAGTCAGCCCCAGCGGATACTGTTATACCACCGCGGCGGTCGAGTCAGCCGCGGCGTAGAGGCGGAATTGCATGAAAATCGCGATGTCTTCGACCATCGTTCCCAGAGACCCAATCAACCAGGGAACATTGGTGATGACATAGTTCCTCTCGGTAGAGTGGCAGAGAATCTAAACACAATTCAACGGTTAGTCTGGAGTCACAGCGGTCACGAATCACCGCAAGTTGTTGGAGGAAGCATACCCCGGCACCGTAGGTCAGGTTTCCCATGAGAGAAAGGATAAAGAACAAGAGAGACAAGCCTATCAAGATCATCGGGTTAGCGAGCTCGTGTTCGGTGTCCTTTGCTTCCTTGCGTCCGTAGCCTGCATAGGTAATCATATCACATACCCTCGCATGATTTGTCACAGTAGTTCTTGTAGATCTGTGGGAGACGCGCACTGTTTTCGTTTATCACCTGAAGTCAGCACTTTATTCCATTTTGTACCTCCTGAGAATGCCAATCCATCCCACGGCACTTTCGCTGCGCGTGCGCCAACGCCATATAAACCCAGGGCCGGTGACTCACCCGAGATAGCAGATCGCGCTGAAGTATCCCACCAGCTGCGCTCCGGCTGCCATATCGACCCCGCCGTGGTTCTCCTGAGGAGCAGGTTTCCAGACCCCCGACTGCCACGCGACCGTCCACCCAGCCATCCCGATCACGCAGATTGCCAACACGCTGCTGATATTCTTGACCCAAGCGTTGCGACCGGTGTCATTCTCCTCGACAATCTTGGCCAGCGTCCCGTCAGCACCGTTGGCCTGTTGCTGCTGCTGCGTCGTCCATGAGCGACGACGTCCCGTCGCATTATCGGGCAGGTTCTCGCTGAAGCGCCGGCCGAGCAAGGGGGTCGTCGGATCGAGGGTCTCGACGGAGGATCGGCGTCGGTTGAGGGTGTAGAGGTTGGCGTTCCGCGCCTTGTAGTACAGACATTGCGTGATGAGCACCCCGTCCGCGATGCAGAAGTACACGGCTATGGCGATGATGACGGGGACCAGCCCGGCCCAGACGCCTCCGATCAGGTTGGCCACGTCGCCGACGAACCAGACGAACAGGAAGAGGAAGGAGATGGCTTCGGCGTTGCCGTTACGGTAGTTCTCGATGAGTTGGGGCACCTAGCAAAGGGAGGGGGGCCATATGTGTCAATAAGGAGGGGGTCTTTTTCTCTCGGCCGGCATTTTCTCCTGCGCAGGCCGAGCGCAGCAACGAGGGTTTCCCACATACCAGCAGAAAGATCCAGCAGGTGAGAGAGATCGAGCCCAGCAGACCCGATGCTGCTTCGCGTGGCGTCAACGGTACCGTCTCTGCGGCCGATGAGCCGCTGACTTGGGTCCAGAGAGCGGACATTGTGAGACGGTTGGATTCAAATGACGCAATTCTCAATTGCTCATGGGATTTTTCGACGGCGACAGCGCAGGTCAGTTACATTCACCAGGATCGATTTTGATGGCACAGACACTTGAAACCGTAGAAGGAGGGGGTTGGCGGTTTTTTCACGGTGGTCTGATAAGAGGAATGAAAGCGAATCATGGAAGAGGATTAGTTAATTAATCAGTTGATTTAGTTCCGTTTAGCTCGTCGCGATGACGGGTGGAGCCGGTCGCTGGGAATGTTTGGCTAAGCGGCAAAAAGGAGACCCAGGTTCTTTTCTTCTGTTCCCTGGGAACCCCATTTCTTTGTCCTTGGGCCTTGGGTCATTGACATCTGCTGTGGCTGCTCTTTGGAGGGTGATGGTTTGCCTTCTATAGATACTCGGCGTACGGAGTAGACTCGAGGGCGGAGTGGGAATTTAGAATGTTCCATGCATCTACGGAGTAATAGACTAGTTCACTAGTTGTTCCCATAGGATCCCCTTTTGGAATTCGATTTAGAACCAAGTACTCTGTACAACATCGCTGATCGGGGTATCCAGAGCTAAAATCAAGCCTCTTCCTCTTCTTCATGCTGTAGCAGCTGGAGCTCGTCTTGCAGCATGTCCAACACCAAGTCACCCAAGGCCACCTGAATGCCTTCGAACATCCTCGGGAGACTGTCTGGTGGGAGGACAGCCAGGGCATCCACATACTCGGTCAGTGGGGAGTAGTCTACCACGTCCCCCCAGTTCCCACGGTCCACTCCATACTGGCGAAGGAAATCTTCTAGATGCAACATGCCAGTGCCAAAGACCCAGTTCTCCAAACGCGGTACATCGTCGGCCGGTGGGTGTTGGTGGGTTGGATGATGTTCTGGGATTTCGTCCGGAGTATCGCCTTCGTCTTCGCCCTCGCCCTCACCCTCACCTCCTCCTTGGAAGGGGAAATGCAGTCCACCATTGTTGAGTTGATCCATGAGATCACGAAGCCATTGGGGCCGGCCAGCCTCCGGCACCCGAGACAGATATGACGGTGTGGGATCGGACTGTTGGCGGAAAGCCTCCGAATCATAGGGGGGCAGGGGGTCGGATGCCGATATCCGCCCGGAGACAAAACGCCCCGGAAGGTGAGTCGTAACGCGAGGAATGTCGGAAACGACGACGTGGCGAGCGATGTCAAGGGTAATCTCCGGCGGCTCCACCGGCTCTTCCTCTTCGCCCAGAGTATCTGCGACCTCTACGATGAGGGAGACAGCCTCTGGCGTATTCCAAAGATCCTTGGCTCGCGCGATGTAGAGCTCCGTGAACAATTCGTGAGCCTCGGTGGGGGGCATCTTGCCCCAAATTCTTTTTGGCATAGGCTGAATATCCAGCTCCTGGGCCAGCTTGCAAAACACCCAGGGGTAACGTGACATGGCACGGCGCAACTGCTCCCGGCATTCCTTGGGCTTGTTGAGTCGGAGGTAGGCCAGCGCCAGGGAGCACTGAATGTTTGGTAGCGATGGCCAATCCTTGCTCAATCGCGTTTGCGTGCAGAGCTCAACGAAGTGGGAATACTCTCGACCCCGAAGAGCCAAACTATCGATCAAAAGCCTGATACAATAAGGATCACTGGCGTTTAGACTCAGCAGTAGCTTCGCCCATTCGTACGCAGTCCGCCAAGTCCCCTTCATTCCCAGATTCGCGATGTAGCGCCAACCAACCAGCCATAGCTCGCGGTTTTCGCCGTGTAAGAAGTCCAACTTTGCCTGGCCTTCCTTGAGACGGGTGTTGAAGGTTGAGTGAGCCGAGCGTCCAATGTTGAAAAGAGCCCGCTCAAGCAGGTCGGCGGAGACTGCGTGATCACCCTGATGCTTGGCAATCTCCGACACCTGAAGAAGGGTTGAGATATGATACGGGTTGTATTGCAATAGGGCGATCATCCTCTGAGGGTCCATCGACTCCACACAGATGTCAAACTGCCGCTGGATATCTTCATACGAAGCATTGTGGACAATCCGGTAGACCGTAGCCCCGGTATCCAACTTCTCGGCCAGCTCCATTCCCAGTCCTCCACTAGGCGCGCGGGGCCACTCGTCCTTGCCCTGCATCAGAACATTCCGCCGTAGTGTGACACCGGCCAAGCTCTGTCCTCGACTAGCAGGACTATATCTGCCCGTGAGCGCCTGTCCAAGATCGATGGTTTCCCGGTTCCGGTCTCTCCTACGACCGGTGCCGGAATCCTGAGGCTGATCGAAATTCTCCAACACCACGTTGCCAAACAACTTGCGCATCTCATTGTTTGCATTGAGAGCCTTGGGTTCAATGGCCAGTAGATCCTCCGGTGTCTTTGCGAATGCAGCGTCGCGTGCGGCCTGTGTCGATGCGGCGCTGGTGTTTGCGGGCGCGGACCTAGGATGATTGGGCTCAACTGCCAGTTCTTTCAATGCTCGATCGATTTCATCCACCTCTGCGCCCTTTGACTTAGCGCCAGCCTGCTCACCCGGCGCAGCTTTCGGCGATGCCTTCTTCTTCTTGTTCTTCTTTTTCTTCTTCTTATAATCGGTGGGTTTCGGGGGAGTGGGCTCGCTTTTCACTGGCTGGGTGACGGGTTCTGGAGCCTCTTCCTCGGAGGCTTGTTCGTCGTCATCGTCATCGTCAGCCGCGTTGAGGAGATCAAAGGCGTTCAACTTTGGCTTTGACGACCGTGCTACCGGTTCATCTTCGCTGGAGTCATGGTCTTCTTGCTCTGCTTGCTGCAACTCTTGGTCGCGCAGCTTTTGCAGCTTGCGAATTGCGCGAGAGGACATTCGGATAGAGGAGGTCGGGGGAAAGAGATAGAGGAGGTCTGCGGGAGAGTAAAAGAGTGAGTAAAACTTCCAGAGACTCCGATCCGCGGGGAATGACGACACAGCCTGGTTAGGCTTAGTGCGGGACGACGGTATTTACCGACCGTACCGTATTATAGTTGTATGGAATGGCGTCACCTGATGTTGGTGTCTGAGTGCCTGGACTCCGCTGATCTCCGCATGAATTCCCCGGAGCGAAGGACGGTCTGCTTCCATCCCTCTTCCTCTCCAGCGTCGCTGGATATCCGCCTCCTCCCCATTTCCTTACCCTCGCGTATTCAGCCGCCTAAATGCGAAGTGCGGCTCTCCAGGCTTTCCGTACGGCTCGTCGTGCACCAGTACGGAAGGTCGTCACTAGGAAACCGTGCGCCGTCTCGTTCTCTAGCAGCCGGCCGTTCGGCCTCCGTCCTTCCTCCGCCGGTAAACATCCACCCTTCATTCCTGCATCCTTGCAGTCCTCCATGCATATTCGAAACTTCTCTATTGCCGTGATCTCGACAGTGGTGGCTTCCGGGGCCTGGTACGCTTATCAAGGCAACACCTCGCAGCCCATCCCGGTAGCAGGCTTGAACGCCACCTCGTCCTCGCAGCTCCGTTCGATTTCGACGTCGACTGCACATGCTGAGGACGTCCCAGAGTCAACCCGCCGAGCGCTTCTTGTCGATAATGATCAATTCTATACCGCAACCCTCTCGGGAGAACAGCCTCTATTTAAACAAACAGACGACTCGGACCGCCGCGTGCTCGAGATGTTGACGCCAGAACAAGCCACCCAGAAGCTGAGGAAGAATGAGGAGTCGTACTTGGTGAACCGTGGCAAGGGCGTTGTCCGGTACGATGTGGTGCAGGTCCCCAGCAACTCGCCCATTGAAGACGACCATGCCGAGAAGGTCGTCGAGGTGCCGTCCACGGTCGCGGCGGCCAAGGAAGGCGATGCCAACAGCGATTGGATGTTCTGGGCTGTGTTTGACGGCCATTCGTAAGTTTTTTTACTCCTGGTGAATGACTTGTCTCACTCAATCTTGCTCAGGGGCTGGACAACTTCGGCGAAGCTGCGCAATGTTCTTATCTCTTACGTGGCCCGTGAATTAAATTCTACCTACAAAGCTGCTGCGACCGACCCTTCTCTGCTGTCTCCCACGTCCAATGCGGTGGATGCTGCCATCAAGCAGGGATTCGTTCGACTAGACAACGATATCGTGCACAACAGCGTCGACAAGGTCCTCAAGTCCAACTCGCGGCGAATGGCGGCGGAGATGCTTGCCCCCGCCCTGTCCGGCTCCTGCGCTCTACTTGCTTTCTACGACTCGCAGTCTAAGGATCTGAAGGTGGCCGTCGCTGGTGATTCCAGAGCGGTTTTGGGCCGTCGTGCTTCCAACGGAAAGTGGTCAGCCACCGCCCTCTCGGAGGATCAGACCGGCGGCACTCCGTCCGAGATGAAGCGCCTGCGGGAGGAACACCCTGGCGAGCCGAATGTCGTGCGCAACGGCCGAATCCTCGGCCAGCTGGAACCCAGCCGTTCCTTTGGCGATGCATTCTACAAGTGGAGCAAAGAGACCCAGGAAAAGATCAAGCGACAGTTCTTCGGACGGACCCCCCACCCTCTTCTGAAAACTCCACCTTACGTTACTGCCGAACCTATCATCACGACCACCAAGGTTGAGCCCAGCAAGGGTGATTTCGTGGTCATCGCTACCGACGGTCTCTGGGAGATGCTGAGCAACGAGGAAGTCGTCGGACTTGTGGGCGAATGGGTCGAGCATCAGAGATCTGGAGCCGCGAACGGTAGTAACAAGAGCTGGCTGCCGAGCTGGTTGGGATTCGAGAACAAGCAGCTCCCCGTGGAAGCGGCGAAGGAGGCGGGCACTGATGGCCAGCGCCGCCCTATCCGTCAGCAACAATACGATATTGCGGGCGCCGCCAGTCGGTTCACCGTCGAGGATAACAATGCCGCCACTCACCTTGTCCGTAACGCCATGGGCGGTAAAGACAAGGACATGGTGTGCGCTCTCTTGACTCTTCCCAGCCCGTACTCCCGCAGATACCGGTAAGTCTTTCCGTTGTCAACACTTGGGGTAAGGAACCAATAGCTAACTATGTGATCAGGGACGATGTAACCGTAGAGGTCATCTTTTTCGGCGACGGTCCTGACAACCGCAGCATCGCGATCAACGAGGAAGCCAGCGCATCGGAGGAAAACGTCAAGGCCAAGCTTTGATAGACAGACAGACACCTACCTTGCCTACCTTACAGCTTTATATCTTTGCCGGCGTTAAGACTGTTTTATTGATCATCTATTTGAAAGGGGCTCTATCGTGCCCTCTTACCATGTTATTTTATGTTCTTTGTTGCATTACCCTATGGTCAAGGATATTTGTTTGGTGAGAGCCGGCGTTTCACTACTAAAGCCCTGGGATGGCACTGTGTTGCATAAATATAACAAGCATGCTTGTTCTTAAAATTGATCATTTGTTGATTCTCTTGTTCGTTTCTCTTCCATCTTGGTAGAGTATGTGTGCCCATTCGTTACTTTGCCCTATCCCTCTAAAACAAACAAGAAAAAGATTGTAGGGTTCATTCACATGTCACGTGAACACGCTCCGCAACTCGCAAGTGAATGTCCTCACGTGGGCCCACGTGGGCCCACGTGAGAATCACTGCCCTGAGAGAGATAAATATTTGTCCAGACTACATTGACTTTCCAATAATACTAGGGATTCTGTGCTATGATAGTACAGTGCTCGAGACTAAACCAAGTAGAGACACCAAATATCCTAGATTTATACAGTACTCTTACAACTTTACACTACACATAGAGGGACAGATATATATACAAGAAGCCATAGAAACCCAAATAAGCCCACACAGTCCACCAGCATATGGGAAACAAAGTAACTGAAGAGAAGTCCAGAGAAAATTGAACCACAGGAAATTAAGAACAGTGCGCTGCTGCTGTATCAGTGAACGCTACCCCAGAGCGCAACGTTGCGTTGGCCTAACCCGTTGGATTAAGTGAAGCAAAAGAAATCGATCGCATCGTACACATCGCTGATCGCATCGTTGTCCAACACAGGAAAGGCCAAAGAAGGTGGAATCCCCCCCCTCCTCATTTTTCTTCTCCTTCCCGCACTCTGCCCCTCCCCTAAGTCTCAGACTGTTTCACTCTGGCCTTCATTATTTCCATACTTCAGCGTACTCTTTTTTTTTTTGTTTTGCATCGAGTTGGGACTCCCAATTGCCTGCCTGCTTCTGTCATCATCCAGAGGGCAGATTCTGTCCCTGTCCTCGTAAACAGGCTGAGGTTTTCTCTCCGACTCTCATTAAGACAAGGTTTCAGTCGCCAAAGATCCCCCAGCATACACCTCATTACGGTGCTTGTCATTCATCTCTCGAGTGAGTCCTCGGTCGACTTCAAGTGAGTGAGTGCCCTTTCTCCCTCCGGAAAAAGTCCGTGTAGTATCCACTGACCGTAATAAGCAAGAGTCTGTTTGGCTCTATTGTCATCTGCGGCTGTTGACGATCGACAGGAGCCGCAGACAACCATGCCGGGTACTCCGTCCCGTCCCTCGGGCAGTCACGGTGACGAAGGCGATCGCAGTGAGAATGCGCCCAGTCGGCCGAGCACTCCAGACGGATCAGCCACCGTGCGAAGAATCCATCTCCCTAGACCGCGTCGCAACCTCTATGGAATCACTGAAGACAACGGCATGATTATCGTCAATGGCGTAGACATCGTGGCCCGTGTAACCAGTTGGCGCGAGGAAGGTCGGACGCAGGAGCAAGTCGAGAACCTGAGTCGCTTCATAGATTGGCTGGTCATCGGCGGCCGAACAACAGAGCATCCGAATTCGATGCCGACGCCGATGCCGAGGCAGAATGAGCGCCCGCCGAGCCCGCCTGACGAGCGAGTTGTCCAGTCGATGTACAACCGTCAGTTGTACGGCTTGCCTCCAGAAGTCTTCCAGCAGGACCCATTCATTCAAACGCGCCAATGGCAGGAGAACTCGGCGGGCGGCAGAAGGAGCCCGTCTCCGACGCCTCGCGAGCGCGAGGAGCGCAGAGCGGAGGAAGTTGCAGTTCTCCCGGTCCACCTGGACAACGAACCGCGCCGCGACACTTGGCCGGTCGGATGGGAGCTCCACCATGATTACTATCTTTGGGCCTGTCGCGGGACCGTCGTCGACATCGCCGAGCATCTTCAGGTGGTCTTTGACTTCAATCCCCCAATTCAAGAATCTTTTGTTGCCGACAGACTGAACGGGGTGAACGCCTTCAGACAACTCACTTATCTGCAAACATATTTCCCGGGCGAGACCCACTCCATGCAGCGAGCTTTGGCGAGAGGCATTATCTATGAGGCTGGCATTGACCATGTGGAGATCCGCGGAGGCTTCCAGGAATTGGAGGTAGAGCAAGAAGATCCCAGCAATTATGAGTACAGAGAGCCCACATGCCCCGGCTTCGGACCGCCCGACTGGGATTGCAGGGACGATGCATATCTGGCTCTGTATCTGGGCCTGTCCCCAAGCACATTCCTCCACGACTACGCATGGCTTTTCCCATACCCGATCTGCCCGGAATTCATCCGTCTGCGCATGGCCCAGATCCCCTATCTAGATCTGAGTTCCTCGGACCTGCAGAGACAAGTGCGGCGACGTAAACGCTTCCTGAGCTGGGCTCCACATCGCGTTACCAATATCAGATCATGACTTGCCACCCCCAAGTGACTTTGCGACCAAGCAGACAAATGATTATGACACATAGCTGGTTATGAAGGTTCGGTTTCTGTATCTCTTTTCATTTGCTTCTTTCTTTCGAATCCAGCTTCTTCATGCTCGATGGAACCATGTCTTTATTTTGTTTCCCCCCTGTCTTTGCCCAGACTGAACTGCATTGAAGAAGACTCAAACACGAAAAGAAGATAAAAAAGGTTATTTCGTCTTCTCAGACCCTTGTTCACCCGGCAATGTGTACGCGATATGCATTTGTCTCCAAGGTTTCAGGGGCTGGTTGAAAATCATGTACTTATCCAGAAGATAGGTTTGCAACGTGGCAGTGTTCGTACTAGTGATCCAATAGAGCATAAGCGCCGCAGGAAATTGATGATAGTAGGACGATAGACCGACGTTCAGCGCGAGGACCTGAATAAACACCCTAAGCCCTTTCACCGACAGCTTCTTCGCCAGTTCCAGCCGCGGCAGGTCCGACAATTCGGAAAGGGCCGGAGCCTTCCAGCCGCTCCGGATGTTGAGAAGGATCGAGAAGGTCATCACGGCCGGCAGAATGCCCGTCGAGTCACCCGCCATCAAGTCCGGAAACCACAGCGCGCCCTCGGTAGCTAGAGAGGGCTCTACGGCCCGTTGCAGAGCGGCACTGGCCTCGGCGGAGGACGACGACTCTAGGAAGGAGAGAAGGTAGGGGACCAACCCGGTCGTACTCCCGGACATGGCTCGAATGCTTTCCATGATGGAGAGCCAGATTGGGATCTGCAGGAAGTTCAAGGGCTTCCAGAACCGAGCGACATTCCAGCGCTTGTGCAAGGCGCGCTGTTTCGTCGCCATGGCCTTTAGCACTTGCACCCTAGCGTCTCCAGGGAGTGCGAGCTGATCGGATGATGATTTGCGCTTTCTCAAGTCCTTCTGGTAGTACTGGCGCCACGAGTGGAGAAGGGGGATCATGTCACGCTCTCTCCGGGCTTGTATCTTGGTGTAGATTTGCAACGGCATGGCGACAGTCGTTCGCACCACCAATGCCGTCAATGGGAGGGATACTGCCCATGGGAGACCGGTGACTGAATGGATAGCATAGATGAAGCCAGACGAGACGCTTAGAGCCTCGGCGATAAAAGGTCTCGACCCGGTAGGATGAAATTGGCGGACTTGTTGCTGGAAAGCAGTCCTCCGCGCTGTGCGGAGTGAGCTATGAAACGATCTCATGATAGTGGCTGTAGGGGGCTTTGCACAGCTCAATGGAACAGTATACTATGAACAAAGAATAGGATGTATATTTAGAGAATGAAAAGATTAAGATATGTAAAAGAATAAGAATGATTTGACACCCACACCAGAGACGCGACAAATACTCCGATCAAGCTCTCCGGCAGCAGCGAATGGAAAACTGCAAATCAACAAGTGTCCACGTGATAGTGCCACGTGATATGATCCATACATACGTACCATACGGAGTACTTACCATACATACCGTTATCGATAACGAGTCACGCCCCCCCAAAGAAGGCGGAAATTCGCCAGGTGGAAAGATTAAGATTGTATTTCTCCGCCGCTTCTTTCGCTGCCTTCCACCATCCGTCGTCTGGACGTTCGGATGTCATTCTACAACTGTGCTCGACCATGATGTTGTTTCTACTGAAATCCCTGATCACCGTCCTCGCCCTCCTGGCCACCTGCGTCCTGGTCCCGCAGCTCCCCTTGGGCCTTCTCCGCTTCGTACTCCGCGGTGTGGGATGGGCCATCCAGAAGCGCACCAAGTCTCGGAGGGAATTGGTCCTCTCGCGGGTCCGTATCGAGGACGAGGAGTTCCAGGCCAAGCGATCCAAGTCGTCGTCCGGCGGCTCGGGGGAGGATGAGGATTGGGAGAAGGTCGATTCCTCCAGCTCCAGCTCTGGGACAGCTGGCCATAAACAAACCGGCCGGGATGAGGACTGGGCTGGGATTATCGGCTTCTTTCACCCCTTTTGGTATGACTGATCCCCGTGGCCTATTTTCCCGTCGCATCGCGTCGTCTCAAAACGAAAAACACCTGTAATAGAGCCACTGCTAACCCTGTTGGCGGAACAGTAACGCAGGCGGAGGCGGAGAACGTGTTCTTTGGGAAGCTGTGAGAGCTACCCAGAAGCGATGGCCTAGAGCTACCTGCGCCATATATACCGGAGACCATGAAATCAACAAGACTGCTATGTTGGAGAGAGTCCAAGTAAGTGGGGGGGTTACCTTGCTACTGCGACGAAAGTTGGTCTCCGTCTCTAACCTACTCGCCTTTTGCCTCAGAGCCGGTTCAACATCCAACTGCACGCCCCGACGGTGGTGTTGATGTATCTCACCACGCGCAAATATGTCCAGAGCAGCATGTATCCCCACATGACCCTGCTCGGTCAATCCCTCGGGTCGCTGGTGGTGGCCTACGATGCCTTTACCCTCCTGGTTCCTGACATCTTTGTCGATACGATGGGTTACGCCTTCACCCTGGCCTTTTCTAAGCTGCTGTTCCCGTCCGTCCCCACCGGCGCGTACGTCCACTATCCCACGATATCCACCGACATGCTGCAATCCCTGGACGACGCCACCGGAATCCAAGGCGTCAACGCCGGGGCTGGCAAGGGCCTGAGGGGCCAGATCAAGCGGAAATACTGGCTCGCATTCGCTCGTCTCTACGGCTGGGTCGGCGGCCACGTGGATGTCGTCATGTGCAATTCCTCGTGGACGTCGGCGCACATCCGCACGATCTGGGGCCCCTCGCGGCGCACCAACGTCTACCGGGACCCTACCGTTGTCTTCCCCCCCACCGCCGTCTCGGAGCTCGAGTCGACTATCGCCGTCAACGCCGAGATTGAGCAACAGCGCAGCCCCGTCATCCTCTACATCGCGCAGTTCCGGCCCGAGAAGAACCACCCGCTCGTCCTGCGCTCGTTTGCCCGCTTCCTCGAAGAGCGCAGCAAGAATCCCGCGTTGGCCGAGCAACCGCAGCCGAAACTGGTCCTCATCGGCTCCGTCCGCCACGCCAGCCCCGACGAAACCCACATCTACAACCTCCGGCTGCTGGCGCACGAGCTGCGCATCCGCGACCACACCGAGTTCCTCTGCGACGCCAGTTGGCCCGCCATCCTGTCGCACCTGGGCACCGCATCCATCGGCGTCAACGCAATGTGGAGCGAGCACTTCGGCATCTGCGTCGTCGAGTACCAAGCCGCCGGCCTGATCAGTGTGGTGCACGACTCCGGCGGCCCGCGCGAGGACATCGTCGTCGACCTGGGCGACGGCGCCACGGGCTTCCGCGCCTCCACCGAGGACGAGTTCGCCGCCGCCTTCGAAGCCGCCCTGGCTCTGCCCGAAGAGGAGAAGGTCGCGATGCGTCTACGAGCCCGCAAATCCGCCCTGCGCTTCACCGAGGAAGAATTCGGAGCCAAGTGGATCGGCGAGATCGGAAAACTGGTCCGGATGCGAGCGCAGTAAGGCTGGTTTTAGAAAACACAAAAAACACACACCATACACGTATTCAGCGAGACATGGTTTTTTTTTTCATTATATCTTTCAAAGAGCTCGGAAAGGGAATTCGTAGACCTTGTACTACAATTGTCAACCTTATCATCAGTTTTTGTAGGTGTAGACTCTAGACTCTGCCGTTATTGCCAGTTTGCGTGAAATAAGCGTTTGTCCCCCCTTAGCCGTTGCGTAGACCCGGTTACTTTTTTAGCAGTCTCAGCTAGATTGGCTTGGTATTTAGACCTATCACTGCGCCGGATTTACAGCAGGTGGGTAATTGGTAGGAACCTATCATTGACCCAAGTAGAGGAGGAATGGGGTCTGGCATTGCGGAACTGTCCTGTTTGTTGCACAGGCTACATCATATCCGGAGCCGCGATCCGATTGAAGAAAGTATTTTTTATATCCAAAAAGACAGGAGCAAGCAAGAAAGCAAAATGTCAAGTTCCAAAAAAAAAAAAAGAGCAAGTTACCCGATCTGGGAACCCCTGCATTAAATAGCAGACGGAATCCCTAGGGTATAGACTCATAGGCACATAACGACGGTCCGCAGCCCTTGCGGACCAAGGGGGAATCAAAACAACTGGTAGGTAGGCAGACGAATAAACAAAATGTTTCGCGATGGTGTTGAACGAAAAAGGGACAAAAAAAAAGATGAAGATAGAACGGTAGATAGATAATGTCAACCCGCCGTGATCTGGGTGCACCAGCCTATATCTCAACGCCAAAAGTCCTCTATTGAATGAACAAAACCCACGACAAAACCGCAACCGACACAAGGTACGGTTTCCAAATGAAACCCTCCCCCAGGTAAGAATATTAGTACCTACCCGGTGGTGGCATAAAAGAAAAGAAGATGAAGCAACAGCGTCCACAACAGACGCAGAAGGTGAAAAGGAAGGGGGAGGAAAGTAAGGAAGGCACAAGAAATCAAAAATCAAACAGCAGCAGAAACGACTCATTGTCATTCTCTCCATTCCGTGTTGGCGTAATTTTCCCCAGAGTTGACCCCCAACATCTGGTTATTGACACCGTACATATTCTCTTGAGGGCTGTACCCCCCACTCATGCCAGAGACACTACTCATAGCCGATTCGTCGTCTTCGAATCCAAACTCGCCACCGGAGCTGGCGTCAAAACTGCTGCGGCCTCCAATATCACTGGGATCGTCCGCCGAAGCCGGGATTTGGTCCCATTGGAGAGTTTGGAGTGCGGGATACTGGGCGAGCAACGCAGCGGGAAGAACGAAACTGCTGGCATGCTGACCATCCATTCCCGACACCATGAGCGGCGGTGGGATCGGCTGCAAGTGACCCGCATGCGATGGCTGCTGCTGGTCAATCATCGAGCGCTCGTGAGACTCTTCATCCAGCAACGACTTGATACAAACGCGACCGGCCTCCGATCGGAAATGGCGGCCCAACGCGTCAGCCCGGGCAAATCGGCGGCCACATCCCCACTGTCCGCCGCGGGACAGCTCTCCCCGGCAGACGAATTTTTTCTCGCCCGAATGCAACCCTTCGTGTCGCTTCCGATCGTGTTGCCGGGCAAAAGCTTTGCCGCAAACGGTGCAGACGAACGGCCGTTCGTCCGTGTGGGTGCGCAGGTGAGACCGTAGATTATAGGCTCGAGTGAAGCGCTTGGGGCAGAGATGACACTGGAACGTGGCGGGATGTTTTTGGACACGCTTCGAGTCATTGGGATTCGCCCCGGGCCGCTGTGGATCGGCAAGGCCGAGGATATAGTTGCGGCTGTCAATGGATGATGTTGACAACCGACGAGATCGCGACGGAGACGGATCGCGCGAGCTGGGGTTGCTTTGCGGTTGGCGGCCCATGGAATCAAAGGGCGACAGCGATCGAGGTGACGACGGAGCCAAAGGCTCCAGGCTACTCGTGGTCGCGGGACTCCGAGAGCGGGAGGCAGGATGGGCGTACGGATCAGACTTACTGCGCACGCGAGAGCCTATTAGTTGAGTTAGCATGATTTGGATGCCAGGAGGAAAGGAAGAGGTCCCTACGCATGGAAGGAGGCGGGCTCAGAGAGTCCAAATCTGCTGTCGGCTTGGACTGAGGGAAAATAGGGTTCCTCGAGGGGGGTGCCAATTCCACGTTGATAGATGGAGGTGCCATTTGGGACGCTTGTCCGATATCCTGGCCCAAAGGTATCCCTTGCGACATGACCGGGCCGTCCGGGCCATTGTTATACACGTCATTGACTGAAGGGGTGGAATACTGCGGATTCTCTATCGGCGGGGAAATATATGGGATATTCGGGATCATCTCTGGTCCCTGCTGGGGCATCAACTGCGGGGAGATATAAGGGCTGTGGGCCGGACTGAAAGCATGCTGTTGATGCTGCTGGTGCTGCTGATGCTCGGACAGCGTAAAGGACTCGATGGCGAGTGCATTCTCGTAGAGTCCGGGATCGTTCTGCGGCGCCAACAGCGGGGAGGGATTGTTGTCGACGGCGTCGAACGTATCATGCTGGGACATATACGGCGAATGGGCGGCGGAGGAAACCTCGGACACCTCGGACGGAGCCCGTCGGTGGCCCTGGAAGGCCGCATTTCCCATGACGGCCTGCCAATCCGCGTGCGAGCCGCCGGTCAGGTAGTTTGCAGATGCGGGGTCCAAGGACGTGTGGCGAGAGTGCTGCGGAGTGTAGAAGGTGCCGGCCGTCGAGCTCAGGGGAGAGATGGGACTCGGAGAGGAGTGGTGCGCATGCTGCTCTTGCGGGGACATCTGCGGAGACGCCGAGGGATGGGGCGACGAGATCTGGCCCACGAGATCGGCGGGGTTTACGCCCTGGCTGACCGGTCGCGGCTGCCCGTGCATCTGGGGGTCCAGCATGAGGGAGGAGTCGTACTCGGGGGCAGTCGTGCTGTTCGGACTGTGGTTCTGGTAGACGGAGAAGTCGAACCCGGCGGGATCGGAGTTCAAGAGGGTGGAGAAGTTCTCCTCGGTCGACTGTTGAGGTTGCGGGTGCTGTTGCAGCGAGATGCCCGAGGACTGATCAAACTGGTTGACCAAGCCCGGTTCGAAGGACTGCGGCAGCTGCAGGCCGTGGGAGAAGGGCTGATCCGGCGGGGCTAAGGACGGCGCGCCAGGCGGGGAAAGATAGCCGCCGGTGCTGTAGGTGTAGGAGTCGGCGCTTGGGGAGGAGGAACTGGGATGGTTGTGGAAAGAGGGCACGGTGACAGAAGGGTCCAAAGTCAGACCAACGGAGGGATGATTGTAAGGCTGCTGTTGAGGATGATGAAGATGAGCGGACGGGCTGACGCTGCGGTTTTTAACTCCCGCCGGAGATTGGCTCGACTCTTCGTGGGAAGCCATCGCGAGTGATCTGTATCCCAGAATAGATACTCCGCGAGGCAGGGCAAAGGGCGTTGGAGTAGAGAGATTGATTGAACGGTCGCGCCAACAAGCAACGGCGGGTGGGGGAGAGCGACAGAAGAGGGCGGTGGAAAGGGAAGACGCTGGAAGTGGGAGGGGCAGTGATTGTGATTGGGAAGATCACAAATAAGATAGATGGGTTGGCAGGGCGCAGGATGCAATTTCAGGCAAGGAATGACTTAATTAAATCAATTAGTGCCAGCCCTAAAAGGGGGAGAAGAAGGACAAGACAACCATCTGCAAGCTGACAGGGAACTCGAAAGGAAGGAAGAAAGAGGAGAGAGGGAGGAGGGAGGAGAGGAAGGGGGAGTCCGGAGTGCACCTTGCGATTCAGCCTCGTGGCGCACGGTATCAGCGATCGGGACCGGGGGAGGGGGAGTGTTTACATTCTCCCCTCCAGGAGTGGATCGGAATTGACTGATGGGAAGTTAACGATGGGTTAGGGGGATGAAGAAGGAGAGATGGATGAAAGTGATAGATATAGAAATGAGGGATGAAAGGAAAGGAAAGGAAAGAAGAAGTTGAAGAGGGAAAGAAGCAGAAGAAGGTAGGTACGGTACGATGTATGTTACGTACAGTCGCTGCCCGGCGGGTGTTCAGGCCAATTCAGGCCGCTCGGGTAGCCCGCGGTATTTCCCTCTATTTCTACTCAGTCATCGCTGCCTTTCTGGATTACTTCTTACTATGTTTATCGCCGTGACTGTCAGAGCCCATCCGTGGAATGCCTCTTGAGAACACAGTCAAATACGAACCAAGGCTTTTGGTTTACCGTCGGTCAGGCCCGGGCTGACATTGACATTACTATTGACTTAACCACTTAGTCTGGTTCAAAAGGGAAATACGAGATCCCCTGGAATACATCTTGTCATCTCCAATTCCCCATACATGCGGCTCTGAGATTCTCGTTGTGACTACTGACTAGTTAGAAGGTTATGACTGATTAAGGATCTCACCCCCGTCTCAGATCCTTTGTATGTAACATTAAACGAGCTTGGGAAGTTGACCTGTCCCCTCGTCAATCAGCTTGCATCGCTGATCTCAATCATTTGGTTAATCTACTCCGTAGTAATTCCAACTGATGAGTAGGGAGAACAAACATCTCGACGAGCTGCTCAGCCGTTCAGCTGTCACACCCTGTGCCTGCAGCGTGCATACATACCCAGGTAGCGTAGCCATCACGAGATCAATTCCATCCATTGGAACCAACGCCCACTGCTCCTAATAATAATAATGCACATGCGGGGATCCCATGTTGATTTAATAATAGAATCGAAGGATTTCCATAATTATCTAGTTACACACAGAGTAGTATTAGATTTAGGTAGGATTTCCTAATTTCTCAACGATGGTTGCCTGGCTGCAGCGTGCCCTAACTCGGTACACGCACTGAGTATGGAGTACTCTGTAGAACCTGGACGTCCCTGGTCGCGATCGAGGCTGAATATCATTGCGATTCCGGGATTAGACTGTCAGCCTGACCCCTTAGTTAATATTCTCCGGTAGGTTCGTGCCCTGATCGGCCGCGTTTCTTGACCGGATTCTGGCAGGCCAAGGGGACTTACCCGTAGCTTCGCT